CCTTCATCCACTAAACAGATCGCCTTGTCATAGAATGAAATCAGGTTTGTCAAACAGGATCTACCATTCATAAACCCATGCTGACTGGGCCTGATCCCCTGGTTGACCTTTAATTGATCCGTGGTGGCTCCTGAGATTATCTGTTCCATAACCTTCCTTGGCACCAAGGTGAGGCTGATAGGTCTGTAGCTAACAGATTTTTGAAGATGGGTGCCAGATTTGCTGGGACATTCCTTTTTTTGCTCCCTTCAAGTGCTAATACTGCATCTAGCCAGCTTCTATTTCTTCCCATTAGTCCCTTTCCATCTCTATAACGTTTCTTTGATTTCTGTGCTAGAAGTGGTGCTAGAGGACAGTTGGACTTGCCTTGCCCATGTAATGACACAGCTTGATCTGTTGTCAGAAAGTCACCTTTTTTTTCAGTTTCTTAACTGTACTTTGCAGTGGATTTGGACATGGTAAAGAGATGGGGTGGACTGCTGAGGGGTTTTTACTTTTGGAGTAGATGTTATAAGAAGCATTATTTCCTTTCTGCAATGACATGATTCTGCACAATGACTTTGTGCTTCTGCCTACTGTAGGCAAATAGTTTTGTCCTTGAGTAGCTTTTAACAAAGTCTAACAAATGATATACAGTTTCAGGACATTCCAAAAATCTGAAGAGATTGATCAAGAATGAGGGGCAAGGGATCAGTTAATGAAAGTAAGGAATATGCAGAATGTAGTGTTGGGGATCAGCTTGGCACTTCTCCATTCTTGAAAGAGAGAAAGCCCCATCTGTTTTTTGTTTTGTATTGTTTTTTCTAAAATAAGAAATAAGCAAGTACTGGATTCTGATATTTTCATAACTCAAGGCAATACTGGTAATACTGGTTCAATTTCACTGGCTTGATTACAGTTAAATAATTTCACATGTTCCTTTGTTTCTGTTGTCACTTGGAAGATAATATTCTAATCTGTTAAAATCTAGATTACCTTGCTAGTGTGATTGTTAGAAGGACTGTTTAGTGTTTGGAGCAGTGCAGGCTTTAGTTTCCATGGTGTAATCCAGTTAAGCAATCATTTCCTGGGAAGTTTCCAGAGTTGCTGAGTCAGTAGCCTGGCTCACTACCAGGAAAAACTAATTTATCTTTCTAACAAACCAGGCACACCGGCAAAAAAAGAAGGTGCTTTTGTGCAAGAGAGTCTTGCTTTTACTGTGAAAATAGTGTAGTTCCTATTTTCCTTTTTTTTTTTTAGGAACTTTAAATTATGGTATCTGTCTGATGCTGTAAATGATGGAAATTAAAGTTAAGGGATGTTGAAAGGAATTTTGGAAGGTATTGGGAGGAGAAGCTCATGACCTGTAAATTTAGATGGTTCTCCTAACCAGTCAGTCCCTGCGGTTGTGGAGTGACCTTTGTGTTTAATGCCACCCAACTTCCCTGCGCTTGCTACCCAACAGAAGCAGATGTTTATGTTGCCTCTGGCTGGAAGAGGAAAGAGTGCCAGTCCATTGGATTAGGCCATGAAGGGAAAAGATTGCCTCTCTTTGTTGATCATACTAGTACCTAAAGTTAGTCTCAGTACATTTCAGCAGCACTCCTGAAGTTTCCAAAACCTGCTAGCCATTTGGTGAGTAAAGGCAAGCCAAGTCAACTTTCTGAAGTCCTTTGAGGAAAGATTTTAGCAGTATTCAATTGCTAAAATAATTTTTCATTCAACAATAATGTTGAAAACAAAACCTAGTGTGACAATACAAAGTAGATTTAATTTACATAGATGGTACTAATTGGTGGTTTTAGCAAGAGTATTTTAGGAGACATTTGGATTGTTTATACTTCAAACAACAGTAAGATTGTCAAGAAATTGCTCTAGCAGCAAAAATAGTAAGCTGAAATATTAATTTGTTGCAATGACATAAAAGTAAACAATATAACTCTCCTTAGAAATTTATACTTCTCTCCATCAGTTTTGTTTCATGAAAATACATTTTAATTGTGTCACCACATTAAAATACCACCAAATGTCCATTTGAAGACAAAGACATCAAATTTTGTGACTAATACCTTAGATTACTCTGTTGAGTTTACGTGGCAAGTGTTTATAGTGTCACTGGGGGTACTGCCAGGGTGGGTTTTATGAGATTAGGGTTAAGATAAATCTTTAAAGAATTACCTTCTTCAAAAATAATATACTTCCATTAAAAATATAATACATCAGATAGGACAACAGTTTTAGTCTTGTTCATTGTAGATAAAGTTCTGAGCTAGATGCCTGACTATGGCATAGGTGACTGTTTTAAGTCACTGCACTAAGACTGATGTGGCGTCAGTCTAGGACAAGAACTGTGCTTGTTTGGCCTTAGACTGAGGGGATTGAGATGGTATTTGTGGCACCTCTTGTGCCCTGGTCCCATCCACAAGTAGTAAGGGCTGCTGTTTGCAGGTGGTGTGTTCAGGCTGAGCAATGCAGGATGTGCTGTGCAAATGAGCCCACTGTTTCCTTCCTGCTGGGCTTCTGCCCCCCCTCCCAAAGCGCTATTCATACTGCCTTCATATGACAGTGCCATCTGCCTTGAAAGTGTTAGGCAAACAATGTTTAGGGAAGGGAAGCCAGCCAGAGGGACCTGGACCAGCTGGAGAAGTGGGCCCATGTGTACCTAATCAGTTCAACAAGGCCAAGTGCAAGGTGTTGGGGGCACTCCCAGGTATTTATACAGACTGGGGAAAGAACTCCTTGAGGGCAGCTCTAGGGAGAAGGACTTGGGGATGCTGGTGGATGAGAAGCTGGACATGAGACAGCAGTGTGCGCTTGCAACTGGAAGGCAGCTATATCCTGGACTGAATTAAAAAAGAGGTGGCCAGCAGGAAGAGGAAGGTGATTGTCCCGCTCTACTCGGCTCTTGTGAGGCTCCATCTGGAGTACTGTGTCTTGGCCTGGAGCCCCCAGCACAGGAAAGATGTAGTGCTCTTGGAAAAGGTCCAGAGGAGGGCCACAAAGATGATCAGAAGGCTGGAGCACATCTCCTATGAAGAAAGATTGAGGTAACTGGGCTTGTTTAGCTTGGAGAAGAGAAAGAGACCTCATTGTGGTCTTCTAGTACTTGAAAGGAGCGTATAAACAGGAGGGGGATTGACTGTTTACGTGGGTTGATAGTGATAGGACAAGGATGGTTTTAAACTAAGACAGGGGAGGTTTAGGTTAGATATTAGGAGGAAGTTTTTCATACAGAGGGTGGTGACACACTGGAAGAGGTTGCCCAAGGAGGTTATAGATGCCCCATCCCTGGGGGGCATTTGAGGCCAGGCTAGACGTGGCTCTGGGCAGCCTGGTCTAGTGGTTGGTGACCCTGCCCAGGGCAGGGGCTTGAAACTAGATGATCTTTGAGGTCCTTTTCAACCCAGGCCATTCTATGATTCTATGAGTATTACTAACTGATCAATATTAAACAATTTTAATCCTAAACTGAAGCTAGTTTTTTCATATGTATAGGTACGTTACAGAGCCTAGAGATGTAAAGCTGAGGAAGGAAGTAAACATATAACATCAAAGCATGAACTTCTACATTTTCTGTTATCATATGTGGTGAAGAAAAGACAGACGCTTTCCTACACTTATTTCAAGCTAGCTTGTTTATGGTGAATATATGCACGTGGTTCATATGATGTATTTTGCATATTTCTCCTTGACTGACAGGCCCGCGTTGGTACACTGAATAAGTGTGAAGCTGGCATTGTTGTCAAATAGTAGGGAAGCTCTAATGTTCAACAAATCTATTGCATGTGCTTCTTTGGAAGAGATAGTTATGCAGTATAGCCAAGAGAAAAGAAATTGGTCTTTACAGTAAGAAACCCACCTGTTTTTTTTTATAAGAATTATCTTTCTGTTTCTTTGGCAAATATGCTGTGAAGACAAGGCTAGAACTCCTCAGGTTTGTTTACCACCAAAATGGCACAAATCTCCCCTTGCTCCAGGGTTCTCAGACAGAAGCATACAGAAATTGACTTTTATATTTTGGTGAGCAGGAAATAATAATTGGTCTCTAAGGATGACAGCTTTGCTGTAACATTATTAGTTTGAAGCAAAATAGTTTTCCAAGTTAGGCCAATCCAAAGTTTCAGCTACTGCAGCCTTTGACTAGTGGAGGCCAAATAGAGAATGAATCATTTTCTAGCCTTCAGTTACCTGAACATTTGCTTTCAACAAACAAGAAAATGATGAATTTTAAAAGATTAAGTTGGATCTTGTTACTGTATTTTTCTTTTCCATGTTAACTGTGGGTGTAGTTTGTTCCTCAAGGCAGTTCTTAGGAGTAGACATTTTCTGTGTTATTTACCATATTTACATCTAAATGTATTTAGCAGAAAAATAAGGTAACTTATTTCTTTCAGGAATTTTTTAATTCTGTTTCTTAGACAAAGTGTGTCTCAATTCATGTGTATTTATAAAGAAATATAAATATCTGTTCTGATCTGTCGTGCATAATCTGAATGTGATAAGGTTAGCAACAGCAAAAGTTATTAGTAAAGGGGATGGGAGATACTGATCTGCTTTTTATCAAAAATCTGCATGTGCATAGATCAAGATAACAATTTCCTTAATGTTTGTACAAAAGTAGTTTTTCAAAGTTACCTTTGTATAAAGCAGGAAATAGGAGAGAAGGAAAAAATAGTGCTTGTTTTACTCAGAACAAAAAATGTTTTTCTGAGAATTTTTTTATGAATCTTTTCATTTTGATAAAAATCTATTTTGAAATTGAAAATCAACAACAACAGCAACACAGGTTTATCCACGTTGTGAAATGTATGATGCTAGTGTTAGCAAACATATTATTTGATACCATTCTAAATTTTTAAAAGCAATCTCAGACAGGGGTGTGTTGCATATTCTATTAGTGTTTAAAAACAAAGCATGCTTTTTATGGCACATAACTTAATATTCTTGAAGCATATGTATGTTCTTCTATTAAAAATGAATAAATCATTATTTTTTTAAATGTCCTTTTATGTGTTTCACAGCAAAAAACACCATCAGAATCATTCACTGGGCGAGAGAAGAGATCAAATTCACAGTCCTACATTGGACGACCTATTCAGCTTGACAAGATCCTACTTTCTAAGGTTAAAGTGCCTCACACATTTGTCATCCACTCTTACACACGGCCAACAGTTTGCCAGTACTGTAAGAAACTTCTCAAAGGGCTTTTTAGACAGGGCTTGCAGTGTAAAGGTAAGTAAACTTTCTTTAGGTATGTAAAAGCTAAGCATAATAAAATTAGTAAATTAACATTTGAGCAACTGATACGTAGGCTTACTCAGGATTTCTTTACCAAAGTGTCCATATATAGTCACATGATCAATTACATTGGATTATGCTGGGATCTGAATTACACTAATTCTACAGGAGCTGGCTCGATGCTATTTATTACTACTCAGTGGTATAGCTGAGGTACCTTACATCTTTGTCACTAAGGTGTTGATTATTTTATGTTTGTCACTAGGTGATAGTGTGCTCATGGGCAGTTACAGCAGAATAGTTAACACACAGAACCATACTCTTAATCTTCATTGTTCTCAAACTGCAAGTTTTTGTGCTTGAATTGTAGTATGTACTTCTTCTCAGCAGTTAGAAGTTAGGGGGGAATTCTAGTGGAAATAAAACAATAAGATCTTATATGAGAATTAAAAAAAATAAGAAAAAAAGCTTGCTTGGCACTGCTGTATCTTGGTTGGTTTTTGAATCAATCTGAAGTTAAATAATTACAAGGATAGACACATCTCTAATATATTTCTTCCTTCTGGACTTTGCTTTTCCAGCTCTTTTAATAAATTACAGCTCTTAGTTCAAGAAAAATGTGTTCCATAAGCCAAAAGAAAATAATTGAAATGACATCTAATAAAGTGCCATTTACAGATGTGAAGAACGTAGAAGTAGACAGTAGTAAAAATATCTGTGAATGAGGGTAGTACTGAAGAAGCCCTTCACTTAAAACTGTCTAGAAGTTGCTTGGTGATGCAAAGAGCAAGCATTTCTCATGTAAAATTGCTAGCTAAGGTTCTGCTGCTTCAGTTTTCTTTGGTATTTGGTATGTAGTCAAACGTCTAAGCTGAAGTGGATGTGCTGCAGCCTGATCTGCTTCTTGTAGTGGAAAATTATCTCTGGATTTTCAGCCAAGTGCACAGGTATCCAGCTTGCTCCCCAAGATCAGTGTAGCACACAGTTGGTGCAGTGAAAGCTTTCTGCCATTGCTGTAAGCACTGCTTTCCTTCTCTGTGGGAAGCTGTTGGTGTGTTCATCCTGTCTGCGGTACTGGCAAATGGCATCTGGGCAGACTAGTTCTCTCTGATCATGTTAAGTTAACTTTGTGCTAGTGAAATGATTGAGCTTGACAGTTATATGTTATAGCTGGAAAAAAAATGAAACTGTGGCAGTGAAAAAGAGAAATAATGATATTGCGTTCCTTTTCTCTTGCCAGACTGTAGGTTCAATTGTCACAAACGCTGTGCTCCTAAAGTACCAAATAACTGCCTGGGGGAAGTTGCCATTAATGGAGGTAAGTTACTTTAACAATTGTTTCTGTCATTGTTTAAACCATCAGTTAGATAACAGAGAAGTGTAAAGCCTAGGTGTGTACAAAGACATATTTTTCCATTGCTTGGGAGTAGCCTTTCTGTGAGATATTTCAGTTGCGTATTGGAGATGAAGTATGGAAAGAAGCCTATAAACAGTTCATACATTATCATTTTGGAGCACAGATCTTCAAAATACACAGTGCTGAAAGGCAGGCTGAGCTGTGGAACGGGAGTGGCTTCAGCAGCAAAACTTCTGGGTGATCATTGCTTACAGAATGCCAAAGTAAAGTGAAAAGCCAGATGCATGAGAAGGCTTTCACATAGTAGATAAAAACACAAAATTGATTTTTAATTTGAGAAGGGAAGAAGTGTTTATTTTAGGATAATCTTCCAGAGAAGGAGCTGTATAATAGGAGAACTTTGAAGGCCTGTTGAGATAAAACTAATCGTATCAGTTACCAGAATTGAAAGCTTGATTATCTGCAGAATTTCCCATCTTAGTGCTGTCAGTTTTGTGTCAAGTATAGAAATGTATGGCTAGGCTTGACGGATGGTATTGGAGAAAAAAAGGGTAGTTGTAGATGAATTGTTGATTGCCTTGAAAATATCACTTTTCTTTGTGATAAAGGAATGAGAAGTGTGGTAAAGTGTTCAGTGTCTAATGAATATTACTATGTTGTCAGCCTAAACTGCATCTGAGGTTAAGAAGGTATTGCTTGATTAGATATCTTTTTTCAAACTTTAAATCAATGATTTTCTTTATTGAAAAGGTACCAGTAATACTAAATAATTACTAAGTAATATTTCATATTTGTGTGACTGTATTACTGCAAAACCTTTTCTGTTTAATGGCAATTAACATAGGCAAAAATATTTTAGATGCTGAATATCCTGACTTTTGAGGAGATTGAAGTGGTACTCTTAGTGCATATCCACTGTGGTACACCTCAAATTTAGCTCTTGGAATCTCCAGTATTTTTTAACATTACATAGAATCACATGGGTTGGAAGGGAACCTCAAGAGACCATCGAGTCCAACCCCCTTCTAAAGCAGGGCACCTGCAATGGGTCACACAGGTAGGCATGCAGAGGGGTCTTGAATATCTCCATAGGACACTCCACAACATCTCTGGGCAACCTGTTCCAGTGCTCCATCACTTACTGTAAAGAAGTTCTTACACATGTTAGTATGGAACTTAAATTTGCACCTCTTGTACCTCTCCTAACCATTACTTGTCTGTTTCTTCAGAAGTGCAAGAACTGATGCTTATGGAGGGGGGTAGATTTAATTTCCAAATCTAAATCCAAAAGCTAAAAATGTGCCATGATGTGCTAAACTCATTGATAACAGTATGGAGTTTTCCCAGTAGAAATCTTGAGTAGCTTTAAGAAAAAATCCTTTTTATGCATCTTCCAATCTTGTATACATCTTCCTTTTTTAACTTTGTAAATAGTTGTGAGCAGAGATTTGCAGAGTCAGAGAAAGTTACTAAGTCTGCTTATAGATGATAAAATTTCTACTGCATGCATTTTAGGTACGATTTTAGAGGGCAGTGCAAAATAGGATTGATCAAAAGTGTTAAGAGAAGGTGGAAAAGCAAGACTTATTTCTGGACAGCTAGACTAAATGAACAAAATTTGCATTTGTTTCTGTGTCACTCTTTTGATTTCCCACTCTTCGACTCAGACAGCTGTACTTCATTCCTTCAACACAATCTTTATCCCCTTCATGCCTTTGCCTGACAAGTAACACACTGTTTTTTGTTTGCTTGCCTCCAACCATGAATCTGATGGCAGACTGATGAGACGTAATGCTTTCTCTGAGGAAAAACTAAGTGAGGGAAGCTTGTACAAAGCCACTTGGGGGTGAGAGTGCTTGCTCCATGCAGTATTTTAGAAAGCATTACTTCTTTTTGTGCAACTCTGCAAAATTAGTTCTAGAACTTGGCTTTTTCTCACCAAACAATTTCCATAAAATAGTATCCATAGCAATATAGTATAACTCTTAATTTTGTGTCTAAATGACTGACATGTGTTGGTCCTTAGACTTTTCATAGGCAATTTCATCCTGGAGTCTCATTTCTATTCTTACAGAAATTTGGTTCACATTAATTTCCGTCTTACTAAATAAAATACAGTATCTGCCACTCTTTCCATCTGCTGTGTGATGCATCTTCCCCAAAATAGTAAGTGAAGGAAGAGCTAAAGCAATAAAATTCTAAGCATGGTCTCATTAATATACACATTAAACACTAAGTGTGGGAGGATATTTTTAACTGGCTGTGGGTTTATTAAAAATAGAGATATAAAGCCATGCTGTATGAATAGCAAAAAGGGAGTCCTGAACTGTGAAGTATCATTCATGACTGGATGACTGTTTCAGCTAGAAATGAAGTATAATGTCTCTTAGTCATACATCATAACTTATATCTAAACATTTGAAAACTACTGCGTATGGAAACAAATGTTTCAGCCACACACACTTCCAGTTCTAGTGAAATACCATCAGTTCAAATCATTTTTCCAGCAGTCATCTCAATGTTCTTATTGTTTAGAGCTTCCCCTATATTGACTGTCAAGAACTTTCCTACAAAAAATTTGGTGAAAATTTCTCAGTGAGAACATTTGATATCTTCCTGTGATTAGACCTTGCATAAAATTGCAGTCCATGAGTCTCTGAGTTGGTCCTGAAATAGTGCAAATTACCCAGAAAAATTAATATTTATATATCTGATAGAATTTATAATTTTGACTTTTTTCTTTTTTTTTTTTTTCATTGTTGGTTTTTATGTTGGGTTTTATGAAGCCTTTAGCTAAGTAATTTTTTTCTCTTTTTCAGTCTTCCAGATTAATCCATTTGCAAGCAACAATACAGTAAAAAGTTGTTTCTTTGATCTTGCCTATGCAAATTTAATAACAAATGAGAAAGTTTAACATTATTTGAATATAAACTTCTTTAATCTGTTTAAACTGTTTATATTATGCACTGTGAGCTAAAACTTAAAACATCATTGTTATTTCAGTATTATATTACATAGAGCTATTTTACATTAATTAAATACTTCCTTCTTAAAGGCAAGGAATGTTATTTCATTAGAATGGATTACTGTGCCATATTGTACAGTCTTCATGTGGAGCACCGGTGCAAAGGAAATATATTTTCTGCCCAAATAAATAATTCACATTATAAATAATCATCTTGGGAGTTATTTCAGTAGTTCATCATCATGTCACCATCATATTACAAAATTTTTAGTTTTGAAATTTCTGCTTTTCTAGCATCAGTTTGCAGCTGTAGCCTGCCAACAGCCATCAAGTCAGTGCACAACATTCAAACTGCATGGAAAATCTGCCAGAAGATCTCAGAAATAAAACTCATGTCTATAGAATGTTTGAATAGAAGTCTATGGATAAGAAATTCTGCCTTGACTTTGGCAGCTTTTTAGCAGAAAGTTGTAGTTCTGAAAATACTCCAGTTTAATGTGTTTCCAGCTTTCTGTAGTGATTTTCCAAATGGTTGGTTAAAGACCACCTTCACCATTACGCACTGAATACATAGAGACTCGGACAGTAGAATTCCAGAGAGAGCCTGGGTTTTTCTGAAGCTCAGAATGTGTTAGGATGTTGTGGTTGGAGTATTGTAGGTGTTCAGATAATAATTCGAGAAATAATATTCCAGATCTCCTTAGTCCTGGGGCTGAGTCTGATGTGGTCATGGAAGAAGGGAGTGACGACAATGACAGTGAAAGAAACAGCAGTTTTATAGATGACATGGAAGAATCTATAGCTCATGACTCTGAGATTTCAATGACGGGATGCCATAGTGACAATGGGGAAATGCAGGATCCTGATCCAGATCATGATGAATCTAACAGGATGATCAGGTGAACCTTCCATCTTCTTTTGTATTTTTTTGTTATATTATGCCTAAGACTGAAGGAGAAATCTCAATGGACTGCATTCAGAATGGAGAGAGTTAGTGATATGTGATGGTTCTGAAATTATGATGAGATTATTTCATGCACTGGGATTTTAAAAGAAGTTTAAACGTTATTGTCAAGTTGGAATTTCATTCAAAAAATTGTATTTTTTACGTCTGCTTTTTTCTGAAAATTATGTTGTGAAACTTCATTTGTAAATGAGCAATAGAGAATATATTTTAAAATGTTTTTATTTTCCCAAGCATTTTTTCCCAACTGGAAGTTAAATACTTGGCTATATAGATAAAATCCAAACAAAACAAAAAAACCTGTACAATTGACTATGATATAATTGGCCTTAGGGGTATTGTTTACATTTTCATATATCTTCAGAAAGAAGGAACTCTTAACAAACTATGAGTTTCAAGAAAATTACAAAATAAATCAGTGTTTTGAGATGACCAATCAGAAAAAAAAAATGGAAATTGAATTGTGCAATTTATTGTAGAAATGTCTGAAGAGGAGAAAAAAATCATTATTTGCTTATTAGAACTGCAGAGTACTAGAGAAAAAAAATGGAGATTGATTGTGAGCGAACCAAAAATGTATTAAGGTCTTTTCTTTTCTTGTTTCTTTGGAGCAAGGATTCTTTATTTTGAAGAACAATTATAGGATACTTTTTCTTTGTGAATGCCAGTTTGACTTGCAGTTCCTCTTACTTTGCATACTAGGAATCTTTTCCTGAAGCACGTTCCCCTAAATTCTCTTTCACTGACACAAACATTTTGCTCTAATTGAAAGTTATCCATTTCAGCAATAGTAAACTGTAAACATATTTTTCTACATAGGTACTTATATACATGTATCATTAGAATATAAGCATCTGCTTTCTATCATAAAATTCAATGTAGTAATATCATCTTGAATGTCTAAGTCACACTGCATGGATAGCAGTGGACTGAGTTCTTTAAAATGTAGGTACTGAATTATAAATAATTACAAAACATATAATTGTTTTATTTAGTTGAGGGGCATCCTTGAATTTCCAGAAACACCTTCCGCTAATTACATACATCACAAAGACCTAATAATGTTATTTGATTGAGCAAATTCTCAGCTACGAACTTCTGTTCTTCAACATAGTCACCAACCTTAGCTATACATTTTTATCAGTGATGAGCAAGAGCCTGCGCACTTGTAAAAACACTTTCCGACACTTTTAAAAATCTGCACCAGTGGAAGTGACCTGCAGATTCACAGCTGCTATGATTGTGCTGTTGCTAGGAGATGTCACCCACACAGTCCGTTTTTCACTGGTCTGAACAGATAGAAGTAAAAATGCTCCAATTCTGAACTATGTGGTGGGTGTGGTAGGACAATCCAGCCGGTGTTGGTCCATGGTCTTCCAAATGGCATAGGGCCTGCTGTAAAATGAAAAAGGAGTTTTTTTCTGGCTGGAGTCTGGAAGTTCAAACCTTCAACTTAGATAGCATTGTGATGTAGTGCTCAAAGTTGATAGTTTGTCTGGGTTCCAGGAAATCCAGAACAATCACACATTTCCTATCCCAAAAGATAGTGCACATCATTTTACCCTCTGAGGATTGCACTGAACTTTTTCTCTGATGGGGAATTTACATGTTGTCATTCCATGGACTGCCATTTTTACTTTGGCTCATAGTGGTGACGCCATGTTTTGTCATTAGCAATGATATGATCCCCGAAACTGTCACCTTTAACCTCGAACTGATCCAGTAGATCCTAGCAAACTTACATAGGGTATTCTTTCTTTTCCTGTGTGAGTGTTCACAGGACCCACCTGGCACAAACTTTGTGATATTCCAACATTGTTACCATTGTTTACAACACTGAAGCTGATATTCAGCTCTGTATGCAGTTCCCTGGACATAATCTGCCAATTTGGAGGAATTAGCTGATCAAGATGCTCTTCATTTCGTCATGTGACAGCTGTACATGGCTGTCCAGAATGTGACTTGTTTCTCATGTTGCTGTTGCCACTGCTGAAATGCACCACTCACCATCTGACCGTGCTCACATCCTCTGTTTAGTCTCTGTAAATGTTCAGCAAGCGCTGATGAATGTGAATGGGTGTCATTTTTTCTGCAAGGAAAAACTCATTTCCTCACCTTTGCTTTGTCAACACTTCCATGTCAGATGCCATTTTGTCGCAGTGCCCCTCTGCTGCCGTCTGTCATATGGCAACAAAATGTTGCAGAATATTGGTGGGCAGGTTCAGCCTTTTTCTCCATATTACCACTAACCTCCTCTGATGTTTTGCTGCAACATAATAAAATAGGAGATATTACTTTCAGAGCAGCCCTCATATTTGTAAGGGTACTAGCCATGTTCATGAATTATTTTTCAGGGATCTATAAAAGGAAAATAAAAAAGGAAATTTCTTTGTCTGACAAGAATATATTCGTAGCCTGTTTGATCACAGCATGAACTCACAATGCTCTGTTTTCATGTAGGATGCAGAATCTCAAGATCAAATTCTGCCAGAAATGACTAAGCATTTATGTTTAGGATTGAAGAAGATGATGAAGCAGATGATTCCATTATGTGGAGTCTGCTCTAGTAATGGTTAACTCCATTTGGCTTTGTTATTTCATAAATCTCTTCAACAAGATATTCCATGTTTTATCTGATTGTGCTATCAGGCATATTGTCAAGTTCCCATGACTTCCTGAGTTACCGTGCTGAGCATTGGAAGTTTTCAGCGTCCATACCCAAGTACAGGGCAGTAAGACTTTGCTTAAAGTCTTTGAAGATAAACTGCATTATCCTAAACTTCCTTCTCTGAGAGGTTCGTGCAGATTCTCTGCTGTACTCTGCCAGTGTATGCACAGCTAGTTGAGACATTTTCTACTGTAAACTGTTATAACTCTACAGTGTGTGTGAACCCAAGAAGGATCACAAGACAGTAATCTGATGGGCAGTGCTTACCTTATGAGAGATTCTAGATCAAGTGATGCTCTGAATCATGCATAGCACAGGCTTGAGCTATTTCTTCCCAACTCTAGTTGAGGCCCTAGTCATTTGCCCATCATCTTTGCTATCTTGGGGAATATTTTGTGTATGTTGTGTATGCAAACTTTTTGTTGGTCTCTGACTTTCTCCTGTTGTGGCATTAAACCTTTTTTTCCTTCGTACTCTCAAGATACTTGGACTGCCAAAACAAAATAGTGTCTGGTCCAGGTCTCTTAGTGGCTATAAATGTAAATGTGCATATAAAAGAAGTTTTTTCTATTTGTCTAAAATTGTCCTCTTTTAAAAACCCTTTACTGATTTATTCTTAAGCCCTTCAACCAGCAACAATATTCCATTAATGAGAGTGGTACAGTCTGTGAAGCACACAAAAAGGAGAAGCAGCACAGTAATGAAAGAAGGTTGGATGGTTCACTATACCAGCAAGGACACACTGGTAAGAAATATTAAGGAAGACATTACTTTACATGCTATATACCTGTTCAGAATGAAAATCCTAATAGTACGTTAATAATTTAAAGTCACTCATATACGTCATTTTTACAACATCTGCATTTCCCATAGTACTAAATCCGTGTCGGTGCTTGTAATAAAGTTATTTCACCATACCAGGAGACACTTAAGACACACAGTAGTATCTGAATCTGTGAGTTGCATTATTACAGGCCAAATATAAAGATATTCTGAAGAAAGTAAAAAAAAATTAACAGCTTAGAGGTTCTGGAAAGTACTGGTTTTTATCTTCCAGTTACTGTTTCCTAGATATCTTACTGTTAGGTGAGTTTAGACTTTTGTAAAATAAAGGTATCAATAATAGTAATAATAATAAAAAGTTATTTTCATTCAGACCTGCAAAAACAGGAATCAGAATGTCAGTATATGGCCTTCTAAAGTGAGCTGCTACCAATAGAAAAAGAAAGTTGTTTTATTTTATTAACACAATTGCAGAGTGTAACCTTGGGACTATGATGACGTTAAACTTCCAAAATACGGACTAGTTGAATAGAGCTACATTAGTACAATAAAAGATGAACTTACAAAACTTTAACTCAAACATAAAGGCCTCATAAAATTCTTGTAATAGCAAATGAAACTTTGTCCTTCCCAGTTCATCCCTTCAGATGAAAACATAAACTTTTGGAAATGTTGCATTTCAGGGAAGAGCATTTCTTTAATTTTCTTGAAATTTTCTTCTTGAAAATTGGTAGAAAAATTTTCCCCTTATTTTTCTTTGCAGAGAAAGCGACACTACTGGAGACTAGACAGCAAATGTATTACTCTTTTTCAAAATGATACTGGAAGTAAATATTATAAGGTAAGGAATATTTTTCAATTTCTTTTTCCACTATCAAAAAGTAATGACTGGAGTGAATTGCTGAATAAATAAATACTAAAGCTGCATTAATAGCACAACTTGGAACTGTTTGTTTTCATTATCTTACTTGCATATGTGGGTTGCATTTCACAAGCAAGCGTCAGATCAGAAAAGCATTCACTGACAATGACCGTTGTTATTATTATGTTATGTTATGTTACATGTTACATGTTATGCAAATGAAAAGTTTTATATAGGGGCAATTCACTACCAGTGACAAATTTTTCCAAGAAGCTCATCTGACATTCTGTTGTTCATTATATAAATTGTTTCCAAACAATAAAGTGTTGTACATATTATTTTAATTCTGTCCTTTGGACATTATGTTGTGATTTAAATTGTAAAACATTATTTTAATTCTTGCATCCTTCTACCTGAAGCAGTTAAACTCCTTCCAGAGGAAGTTAGTAAAATGTGTCCTTGAGTCTTATTCAAGATGAAACAACCAAGTTCATGCCTATGTGAAAAGTGGATTTAGAATATATATTTATTATGCTTTTATTTACAGAGTTCTTTGCAAGTAAGTTTGCAAATAAAACAATTAAATTTCTACTTGATCTTGGAAAAAAACATTTGTTATTTTACACTCAGCAGGCCTCTGTGTCAAGGAGTTCCAGGTTACAAGAACCTTTTTGTTTGTACAAGAAGCATGTGGAAAAAAGCAAGAGCTAATATTATAAGTTAGTGAAATAAAATTCATGTCTTAGTTTTATATGTTGATTATCTTTACACAGATTTTTTTATTTTTATTTTTATTTTCATTTTAGGAAATTCCACTGTCTGAAATTTTCTCTCTTGAACCTGCAAAAACTTTCACTTTACTGCCTCAAGGAGCTAATCCTCATTGTTTTGAAATAAGCACAGCAAATATAGTCTACTATGTTGGAGAAAACATAGAAAACCTCTCAAGTGTTCCACTGAATAATGGTGTTCTCACTAGTGGTATTGGCATAGATGTGGCAAGAATGTGGGAGATTGCAATACAGCATGCCCTGATGCCTGTCATCCCTAAAGGGGCATCAATGGGGTCGGGACCCAGCCTACACAGTAAGTATGTTTCCTCCATTTCAGATAAATGCAGTCATTAACAAATGGCACATCTCAATCTTCTGCACAGAAATATTGCACAACTAGTAAGGGCTTATCAACTGTCTGTGTATTTTAAAAGCCACAATTTTTCATTCATGTGTTTCCAGTTTATACTAGGTCATCTGTGTTAATATACAATGTACAAATTTGATAGTGAGCAAATAGTTGTTCTACTCCTAAGGCATCTCTTCCGTGTTTGTGTGTTGCTGACAAGAATGACAGCTTCCTTGCGAAGTGGCATGAAGTTTTCTGAGCTCCAGTTGAGAATTGATAGATGTTTTCCATCGTTATTGTAATTTATATTGCTATATATCGCAGAAGCATCCATTCACTCTTTAGGGCACTGCAGCATAGATTATATGCTTCTTTTCATCACATTTGGTTGTACAACTGCCACAAACATTGTCCCATGATGAGAGGAGATGAACTCAAGTGTGAAGAACAGCTGTTCTGTTCACAGTGACGTATGGATGTTACCCAGGACCAAAAGGGCTAAATATATCTTTGCCTCTGATTTATATACTTTTGGATAATTCCCTACCAAAGCTAGGACATTATGTAAACAAACATGAAACTGGTTTACGTCTTTTGAGGTACTGATAACGAAGTAGCACAGACCAAACAATTCACCACTACCAAGTATCTGCTGCTGTGGTTTCTTTGCTAATTCTACTTAGCCTACTCATTGTAAAGCAAATTCAGATATGTCTACACAAACTGGATCAGACCTTGTGTTGCAACATAGATGTGCTTTAGCACTTGACATCTGGATGCTATTAATGCAGTGTGAAATACTAACGAGACAGCAAGCCCTTCAGGAACTAAATAGTACAACAGGCTGTGGCATACATCTCCAGGCACAACAGCTCACATATCAGAATAGATCATCTCTGTCTTTTTCTTTCTTGGCTATGTTCCTACATGAAATACTGTCAAGTTTGGATGTCATTCCAGTCATGTTAGTTGCCTAGTGCCCCTGGTTTGAGCTCAATGTAGTTAAATATATCATCTAAAATGCTGGACTAAGAATTACAGCTCTCTTCTTTGCCTCCTTAAAAGTTTATAATTTTGTTCTGTTAATTCATACTTCTCTTCTGCCAGTGCATCACCACTCTCCTAGCTGAAAAGAATTAGAAAGAATTCCTTTTTAATATTTAATATAAATCTTCGCTCTTTTAATTTTAAGCTGTTACCCCTTGTTCTATCTGATTCAGAGTCCCTCTCCAGCTTTCTTGTAGGCCCCCTTTAAAGGGCCATGTCAATGTTATCTTTAGTGCAAACACAAAGTAGCACATACATTTGAAAACAAATTAGCAATGCTAAAAATCCTGTATGAAACCAAAACATCCCATTCCAAAACGAATACATTCCTAAGGAGAGGACAAGGAAATAAGTCATTTTGAGCAGAAGTTACTTATGCTACTTTCTACTGCTAGGAGAGGTAGAGATGGTAGTAGTGATTTTATGCAGAGTTTAATACAGGCTTTATAGAATAGGACAGTGATTTCAATGAGGCTGACATCCATACTGAAAAAATGAAAAGCTTGAGCAGAATTCTAAACAGAGGTAGGAGACAGAGGTATCAGTACTCCAAAGTAACCACCAAAAACGACTTCTTTGTGTAGTACAGTCAGCAGTAAACTTATTCTCCAGTTTTATTATATTAGCTTCTCTATGGATTTGCAAATCAAAAAGTTTATGGTAACATCCTAAGCTCTGAATTATTAGAAGTTGCTTCTCATAATTGTCATATTAAAGCATAAGTGCAAGTTTTTATTTCTGTTGTATATTAATAATGTTTCTTTTGCCGGTTGAAATACCTATTCCTTTTAGAAGTACATATAGTAGTATGAAAAAGTATTAGCCCTAGTCTGAATGGCATCATAGAATGACTTGGCTTTGAGGGGACTTTAAAGATCATCTAGTTCAGTACACTGAAGTATAGTAAAAGCAGTTTTCCCTGGTTGATGTTATGTTACTTGCTTAAGATAAAAAGCCCTGAAATAAAATGGAATAAAGCAGTGAGAAGGTTATACATGCGAAATATAATATTCCACTATAAAATTTGGTAGTGAAGTGCATAATTCTGTTCTTTCCCATATACTACAGAAGTCTATTGTTGAAGCCACATATTTGTGAGGTGGTGTAATTTGGTTTTGTCTGGTAGATGAACAAGCTGACCTAATTGGTCCAATTTCTACAGTTAACAGAAAATAGTGATGTCATGTAAATGTCATTTGTTATTATTACATGTTTGAATTGAAAGCATAGCTGTCTCAAGTATATTTTACTTTCTTCCCCAGGGGATATATCCATCAGTATTTCTGTGTCAAACTGCCAAGTTCAAGAAAATGTGGTGAGTGTTCTCTGAATGCTTCTGCTAGATATGATATGATTAAGCATGTGAAGTCATTGATCTGTTTTGCAAAAGGAAATGTTAGAGAAGAGTTCCAATCAGCCATTTTTTCCTACTTACACTGTAGAAATTAACAAACAATTAGCATTATTAACTTTTGAAAAAAGTCAATTTCATGGTATCTTTTCCTTGAGACACAACTATTACATAGGTGTTATGCAGCTTAAAACAGAATTTAAGAACTTATCCTTTCAGATTGTTTATTACCTGAAGGAAAGCAAGCAGAAGTCATTAATACATGGCATTTCTGTTGAACTTAGTAGGGCTATCATAAGTCTTTTCTTGTCATCACTGAGACATCCGATATTTTTTGTACTAAGATGAGACTGCAATTTCGGTTATTGATTCTTTTAAGAAAACTCGCATTAATGTTCTGGCAGGCATGTTTTGAAATGTACTGTAGAGTACATGTATGCATGCTGACCAAATATAATTTTTTTTTCCCCATATTTCAGAGATTAATGTTTATGTTTGTGTTTATATAAACAGGATATCAGCACTGTATACCAGATCTTCCCAGATGAGGTGTTGGGATCAGGACAGTTTGGAATTGTTTATGGAGGTAAGTTTCTGGTGAGTTGTACAGTTATGCTTAAGGCTGAAAAAATTCAGCAAACCTGAAAGTATTGTGAAATACCTTATTACAGAAATTAGCTACCCAGTGTTTAATGTAAGTAATATTCATTAAAAACGGACACTTCTTACTGTTGACAAGGTCTTTTTTACTATGAAGTTTTCTGCCTACAACGGGTCGGTATACTTAATAACTCTAGTAATTTCATAATGTAACGTAGTAATGCAGACCCCAAAGTACAGAACTGTCTCTCTTTGTGAAGAGAATTGATGTATATTTCTTAGGTAATGAAAGAAGGGGGAAAAAGTCATCACTTCCTGCTATTTTTCTTGTCACAGCTTTGTGATTTTTTTTTGTTGTTGTTCTTAATAGTTTGTTTGGATTATTTATTTTTTTCATGTTCTGTTTCTCCATTTTGTTCATCATTTTTTCAGCAGTTTTGAGGAGAGTGCTTAGGTACAGTTGTTTGAGACAAGTGAGTGATAACTAACTAACATTCTCACTGAAAAATCTCTGTGGGTCTCTGATAAAACTGGGACAGAAAGTTAGATTCTTGAAGGCAATCACTTATTTCATTATTTGCTACTCTGGAACTACCACTGAAGCCTGTGACCTGCCAGTTGGAAAGAACTCTGTTTTAAGTATACGAAAAGGAAAAAGTATGTGAGAAAGCTAATTTTACATCTATATTGTTGAAAGGCAAAACTAAATTTCTTATATGCTTGTATTCCTTACATGTTTCAACAGCTTTGTCAGTGAGAAAAAGTTCATTCGTAAAAGGGAAGTGAAAAAGGAAATGGAAGAGAGCTTTCAGTGGTTTATTTAACTTGCAGCAGACTTGCTCTGGGAATTACTTTGTTGTGCATAGTTGTACATAATTGCCACTTACTTGTGGTCATTTATACAATCAAGTAAAAGTGGAACACTTTTCAGAATTAATCATGTTAATTGATGGAGGCCTTCTGTTTTATTAATGCAGGAAAACATCGCAAAACAGGAAGAGATGTTGCCATTAAAATTATAGACAAACTAAGATTTCCAACTAAACAGGAAAGTCAGCTTCGTAATGAGGTTGCAATTTTACAGGTATTTTGCTGTTATTTTTTATTCCTATAAATCATAGAATCTTTTGAGTTGGAAGAAACTCTTAAAGGTCGTCTAGTCCAACTCCCCTGCAATGAACAAGGAATAAATACCTGATAATGTAATTATTCCAGTTGATAATGGCTACTGTTTTTGCTGAAAATTCTAGCATTTTTGCAACTTAATCTGTCAAACAGTCAAGACTAACAGTACTGGGAATGTTATGTTAGGAGCTGTAATCTCCGCAATCTAAAGCACGAGGCACAATAATGTATGTTTAACTAATTTTAAGTTAATGCATTCTTTTATACCATCCCTAGAAATGTCATGCCTGTTGCCTACAGATGAAGTATGCAATTTAAATTAAGACACTGAAATATTTTCTGGCTTAGGGGAGCCTGAAGGTTAGTTATGTAATCATAAAACCTACTAATCATATGGGGATATCTGTGTTGTTCAAATGTTGTATTTACTTTCACTAGAATCTTCATCATCCTGGGGTTGTAAATTTGGAGTGCATGTTTGAGACACCAGAAAGAGTGTTTGTTGTTATGGAAAAACTCCACGGAGACATGCTGGAGATGATCTTATCAAGTGAAAAGGGCAGATTACCAGAGAGAATAACAAAGTTTTTAATTACTCAGGTAAATAATTGATCCATAGACCTATGAAGATATTTGAAGTAGTTGTTATCACTGTTTCTTATGTTTTGATTTTGACATAATTTTTCTCCTTCATTCATAAAAGCCTGGATAATAATCATAGAATCATGGAATGATTCTATAATCTGAATATTATTAGAATGATTGTGATAAAATATCAGGGATGGTACATACATCTTTGTGTACATTATCTGATTTCTAGTAAGCCATTAAGAGGACCTAGCCATAGATACACATGCAATTGCCTGGCTGCTGGATGGGAGAGCCGTCAAGTTACAGGTTCGCTTATGCTTGAAGGATTAAGCACAAGACAGGACTTGAAAATGCAAATAGCAAACCATTGGAGAACTACAGAAAGAAATTTGATGCTTTTGAATTTCCTGTACCCAGCCATTTTAGTTTGTGCTATGAGCTTCTGTGCCTCTTTTCTGCACTGAGATTAGATCTCAGCACTACCTCTGATAAAATGAGTCTGTCTTCCTGTATGACATCTATTAATAATGTGATTGTTTGTTTTTTGTGTGTTTTTTTCTGTTCTTCTTGTTGTCATGTTATCATATTGTTTCCTTGGCTGCCCACAGTATGTTTAAATTTAGATACACAGCTGAATAATGAGCCACCTCAGAGTCACAGCAGCCTGTTTTTTGTTAAGGCAAGAAAAAGAAAGGAGCAGGAACAGTTGTGTTACAGTGGAAGTTTATTATTAGAATTGAACATAACAGGTTCTCTAGCTTTCAGACTTTCATAGGCAAAACCGCCACCAGCTTTATAATTTGATTTCTTGCCTTAATGGGTTCATTCAGCCTCTACCCACTGCCTGTTCTAATAGAGTGGGAAATTCTGGCAGCCTCTGACTAGACAGAAGGAATGAAGTTAAAACCACAGAGATAGGATGGATGTCTCTTATGCTTCCTTGGCATTTTGTTCACATAACAGCACAAAAATGCATGTAAGGCTCTTTGTTTTACCACCTCAAGAAAATACTTAAGTTGGATCACAGAATATTTCCGTGAAAATTTTTGAGTGAATAATTTATATCTGGAAGGCTATTTCGCAGATGTTTCTGTGTTAAAAGTTTCAATAACAACAACAAAACAAACAAAGAAACGTACTCAGAGTACAGTTTCTCGAGCATAACAGTTTAGAGCATAACGTCTTTGGAGAGGGAACAATCATATTTCAAACAGTGAAACATAGCTGACCTTTTTTTTTTCTTTTCTGTGGACACTGTAGAGAAAGTACATTCTTGTTGGACTGTTTCTCTCTACAGCAGTCCTAGATTCTCTAGTCAATGTTGCTGTCAAAATAATATGAACCCCCAACATTTATAAATTTATATATAAACCCCCATTTAAAACTGAATTACATTCTGATTTGTTTCTTCACAGATCCTTGTTGCTTTAAGGCATCTTCATTTCAAAAATATAGTTCATTGTGACCTCAAACCAGAAAATGTATTATTGGCATCAGCAGATCCTTTCCCGCAGGCAAGTAGAAATGATTTTAATTAATAAGTGCTAATTCTGATTATTTTTATAAAAAAACAAAAGCATCTATCTGTACTGATTCCAGGAGCTCACAAAATTATTAGATTTGAATGTCCAAAAAAGTGATAATTCAAGAACTAACTTCTGTCAACTTGATTCATTCAGGAAAAGGTCATTTATAAAGCAGCTCTTCTGTTTGGAAGGAGTCTAAGCTGCTAGGCCCTTCCAAAACTTCATTCCCTTAATTCTAAGCTGTCCTGTGTTTTTGCTTTCACTCTACTACAGTTTATTTATGACATGAAGGAATGCAATGAATTGGTAATCTAGTCTAATGCCTTGGTGGACTAAGAGAAGGTTAAAAGAAATAAAGTTTCCTGAAGATGCATTGTACAACTAAACCATGATAAAAGTATGTCAACTGTATTTAAGAATAAAGATCTTATTTACTTATAGCAATTCTCTTTAAACAGGTAAAACTTTGTGATTTTGGCTTTGCTCGAATTATTGGGGAGAAATCCTTCAGACGTTCGGTTGTAGGAACACCAGCCTACCTTGCTCCAGAAGTGCTGAGGAATAAAGGCTATAACAGATCTCTGGATATGTGGTCTGTGGGTGTTATCATTTATGTAAGTCTCAGTGGTACCTTTCCATTCAATGAAGATGAGGACATACATGACCAAATCCAGAATGCTGCTTTCATGTATCCACCCAATCCTTGGAAAGAAATCTCTCATGAAGGTAATATCTATTTGTGGCTGTTCGTATATTAATGCCAAAAAAGCAGCTTTTGCCCACATTCTCCACCAAGAATGTCAACAGTTTACGGGCTGGTTCAGCCTGGTTCCATGACTAGCGGGGTGGAGGGATTTCACAAAATCCGCGCCTCCAGAAAAAGGGAAACAGAGGACCCCAAAATAATTAAAAACAGCGTCAACAATCTGAGGAGAAACAAACTAATTTACTAAATATGGTATCGGAATGAAAAATAACACACTAAAATACAATGTAATTAGAATTGAAGCTAATAAATCAAACATAATGAGAGAGAGTGTCCAAAAGGTGGACAGGCCCCACCATAACACTGAGGTGAGATGCCCAGTCTGGTTGAGCAGCAGGGAGGAGAGCTTGACAAAGAAGAGTACATCAGGTGACCTTGCCAGGGGTTATATCTCCTCTCTGACTGCAAAGCCCCCTGGGGTATGTAGTTGTTCTTCTCTTCCAGACAGGTGCCTGGAACTGGAGTATTAACACTTTAACTCCCAGTGCACTACATGATGTTATGATGTGGAATACCAATAACCAAAAATCATAAAACCATGACAAGTGTATTCTGCTTTCATAAATTTTCTCCCCTGTACATATCAGCCAAAAGATATATGCCTACTGCTTACTGTAGTGTACACTGAGCCACACACTCTCAGCTGAAAAATTCTTTGTGTCTTCTCTGGAATTTTATCTCAGCAGTAGAAGTTTTATAATATCTGTTGAAAATATTAAAAAAAAAAAAAATCCCATAAATCTGCACAATTGCACACTGATGTCCTCATGAACCTCCACACACCCCTGATATGTAAGCTGACAGAATCTGTTGGCAGCAGTGCTTTTTCTGGCGCTAGAAATAAGCAAATAGCAGTCAACACAGAAGAAGCTGCAAGAAACTGTCTCCGCAAGTTCTGCTGTGGTAGACACAAGATCAATTTCTACATTCAGAGGTGAAGATTGAGTAGAGCACCTACAGAAAACTCACCTACCAGAGTGTTATCTATCCTTCTACACAGTCATCAGCCTTCTTTAAGAGTAAATGGAGGTCAGGCTGAAAGCATGTAGGAGAAAGAACACATACTTTAATAAATCATAATGTTAAAATCTGTTTATACATTGTCATTTCATTATATACTTGAAATTGTTACTTGATGAGCCATTCTGATGTGGTAAACACAAGTCTAAATCTGAACAGATCCATGATTCTTAAAACAGAGAACTGGAATCTCTATCCAAGTATTACTACTGGAGCTAAAATATGAGGTTAGACATTATCTCCCATCTAATAACCATAAACAAGCATTTATCAACCTATCTCTATCCATTTTTTTTTTTTTATCTAGGTGAAATTTAACACATAAAAAACATGTTTGGGAATGTAAATCTCTTGTGCTCTCAGAAAAGTATCCTTAAAGAACTGCCAGTTCTGTTCTGTTCCTATGTCCCAAGGGATCCCATCCAATAATGCCTTAAGCACACAAAATTTGGCTCTCCTTAAGTTCAGAGTCCTGAATCTGCTCTTTTCCAGGGCCATATTCCTTGAGGTCACAAATCCAATCAGAGCATGGTTGCTAGAGCCCAAATTGCCTCAAATCTTAACCGCTTTAATGAGATCCCCTGCATTGGTGAGCACTAGGTCCAGCAACACCTCACTGCTGGTTGGTCTGTCCAATACCTATCTGGTCTGGGAAGTTATCCTCAGCAGATTCCAGGAGTGTACTGAATTGCTTGCAGCCCACCCTTTTACTTTCCCAGCAGTCATCCACGTGGTTGAAATCCCCCATCAGGATGAGAGCCTGTGAGCATGATGCTTCTTATAGCTGAAGGAAGAAGGCCTCATCAGCAGACTCCCCTTGGTCTGTTGGCCCATAGTAAATCCTGATCACCAGAGTAGACCCCAACCACTAGAGTAGAAGTAATGTAAATATTTGTTCTCCATTACTTAGTGCTTTCTTCTCGTACATCCAAAAGGATTCAGGCACTCTAATAATGACCATAAATCTTACATTACCAATAGATTCTAATAATGGTAACTTCATCGAGAGACAACAGTACGTGTCTCAGTAATAGCAGGCATAAACATAAAATTCAGCAAACTTGCAAGAGTTAGGCTTGCCTAACTTACCATCTAAGAGAATTAAAATTTACTTCAATTTATGCATGCTAACCTACTTCAAAATTTTAACATGCTAGGATTATGGATGAACAGAATTTCTGTTCTCTTCCCCTATTAAAATGAGCCTATAAAATTTAAGAGTTCTCAACTTTTATATCCCTGACAAATATTTTTTCCCAGTTGATTATCCATTCAAAACTGTACCATGAGCATCATTTCCCAAGCAGAGCACTCATCCGTGAAATGTCTTCACTGATTTCCATCCCCAAAATGCAATAGCATTTTCCCACATTTTCCAATAGCATCTCATATTTGAATGACTACTTGCTGAAAACTGAGTATGTATTTGTATATCAAAATAGAATTGGAAGAAATAACTGCATAGAGGTAATTTTTGTGGTAATCTTTGTCTATCCTGCTATTTCTGTTCTCTTTTTATCTTCAGGTATTGTCAAGCCATTTTATGCTTCTGAATTCATTCATCTGCTACATGACAATTTGGCTTCATTCAGGCCTCCGTCTGGATTTTTGCTAGTCGTTAGTGCATAAGAATGTGCAAGCTGGAGTCTCACTTACTTATAGCTGAGTAATTTCACATCTGTGAAATTTAAATAGTATTTCAATCTGTTTTAGTTGATGCAAAAATAAATTAATAAATTAGAAATACAATGATTTACAAAAAATTCAGAGAATGAAACATGCCATGAGTAATCTAAAACTTGACATAGTCCATATTAGGCCCATGAAGTTCAAAGAATGGCCAGCACAGAGAAGACACATTAGGTAAAACATACAGGCAGAGGAACAAATGTTTTCAGGGAATTCTGTCCTTATATTCAATAGTATTGAAATACTGTTTAAATCTTTTGAGATAATACAAATTTTGGTGGACTGAAAGATCAAAGTTGGAAATAATCACTAACACTGTTGAAAACAGTGTACATGCTTGACAGATGTGAAATTACTCAGCTGTAAGTAAGAGAGAATCCTACATGTGCATTCTTACGTGCTAATATCTAGCAAAAATCCAGACAGAGGCTTGAAAGAAGCCAAAATTGTAGTGTAGTAGATCAATGGAGGATTCTGAACCATGTTCTTCCTAGAGAAGGTGGTCCAGATTTTATTTTCTCATTTGTGGACAAATAGATTTTTAGCTACCATCTCTTTGTTAGTGCACTAAAGGAGAGTTAGTGTGCTACATTCTCTAAGTTTTTTTTTTCTTCCCTCTCAAAATGTCTGAGGAGTGGGTGCGGAATTGGAAAGCCAGTGAATGCCCATCAGGACCATATGGAGGCATTCTGAAAACTCATTTGTTTTCCAAAACAGCAGGGTTAGTCTGTCTTTTCCCTCTTGGGTGAAAGAGAAATTCTCAAGTTCCAAGCTATGAGGAATAGTAGTATTTTGAAATTGCTGACTTTGTAACCCTGGTTCTTCCACTTTGTGCCTTGAAGCTGCTGCTCTCAGTTATCCAACAATGTCACTTCAACAGTGATACTGAGAGTCTCAAAGAAATGTGCATGTGTGTTTACTGTAAATTGCTATAGTACCTGCATTATACTGTTGTCCTCACATGAGTATTTTTTCACTTGACGGGGAGCTGAGTGAGAATTGTCTTTAGTCTTTGCTACCTGCCTACAAGCAAACACAAAGAGTTAGACAATATAGTAGCTAGCAGGCAGCTGTTTAATAAAACATATGTAATCCTATTAGGAAGGTTTGCATGAGTATCTTCAGGAGCATAAACAGTGAATGCAGTTTGTAAAAAGCTGGAGAGTGGAGGGATAACTGCCCTCATTTTACAACTACCACATTTGTCTGTCTCTGTTTGTATGGTTTAGTTGAAACAAATACATTTCAACTGATATGCTCTAATATTTTTTTTTTTCCAGCTATTGATCTAATAAATAATTTGTTGCAAGTGAAAATGAGAAAGCGCTACAGTGTGGACAAAACGTTAAGCCACCCCTGGTTACAGGTATTGCTACAAACTCTGTGTTTCTTCCTATACATTTAGGCTCCCAGTATATAAAACATTTTTATCGTTAAGTACAATAGAATCTAAACAAATCTACAAACCTGAAGGTGCTTTCTGATCGTGAGAAAAACATACTTCTTTACCAATTTATCAATAGATTCTAATTAATTTTTGAAAAACAAAATTCCAATACTAAACTCTCTCATGTTTTCAAAATACACTGCAGGAATAATTTATCTTGTTTGTCCACTAAGAATGTTTTATATATATGTTTGTTTGTGTGTATATGCGTATATATAGATAGATAGATAGAATGGTGGAAATAAGCCTTTATAGTCAGTTGACTTGCATTATCTAATTGCCTAGCTTCCACCTTGATTCACTTAGTATTAAAATGGGCTGCCGTTCAGTCATCAGAAGAGATAGTGAAGCTGCATGCTTTCCAGGAAAATATATTAGCCACTTTCATTTGAAATCCTCAAATGGAAACTAAAATGTTATGAATTTCTGATGTGCAAGCAGCCATTGTCTTCTGCTCCTTTTATGTTATATTTTTATTGAGACAGTAGCAAAGTCACTGCATGCTGTAAGATACAAAACAGAATCAGTGCATGGAGCAGGGCAAGCTAGGCACTGGGCACCTCCTTGGGAATGGGACAGGCCAAATCCTAATGGGACATCAGCCATGAGATCTAAGGAACAGTTTACAACTTACCAATATGTGAGAATGGAAAACATTATTTTTGTTGTAAGTATTATTGACTGGGTCACTGAAGCTTCTCATTAAGCATCCAGTACTTCCGAGGTGCCTGTGTCCACAAGGATCCTCTGTGCTCAGAAATGGATGTAACTTGTGACTCAGGACTGACTGCATCACACACTTAGAATCGCTCTGGTTGGAAAAGACCTTCAAGATCATAAAGTCCAACTGCAACCTAACCATACTATCCTAACTCTAACAACCCTCAGCTAAATCATGTCTCTGAGCACCACATCTGATCAGCTTTCAAACACATTCAGGGATGGCGACTCAGCCACTTCCCTGGGGAGCCTATTCCAGTGCTTCACAACAGATTCTGTAAAGAAGTTTTTCCTGATCAACTTAAACCTCCCCTGGTGCAACTTAAAGCCATTTCCCCTTGTTCTGTCACCTGTCACCAGTGAGAAGAGTCCAATCCTGCTCTCACTGTGAGCACCTTCCAGGTATTGGAAGAGAGCAATAACGTCTCCCCTCAGCCTCCTTTTCCCCAGACTAAACAGCCCCAGTTCCCTCAGTTGCTCATCTTCCAAGGATGCACATATATGCATAGGAAAGTAATCATGCAGAGGCATGGCACAGATCAGATGTGTAGTTCACAATCCTAAAGGAATACTGAACTGATGCCTGGGTCCTATTCCAGTACCCTACACTTTACCAGTGTTTCTCAGAGTGGAGCATGACCTGCTGGAACAAGAGGAAAAGGGCTGCAACCACACCCTCTGCCTTCACCAGGCACATTCCTTCTAGGTTTATTTTCTTCCTCTCAGATTTCCTGCCACCTTTCAGTCTTTTCCTCCACTGTGCTCTCTTCCCACGCAGTCATCAGAAAGTATATTTCTGAGCCTTTGGAGACCAGAGATGTAATCTCTGCAGTGTGGATGCTGGCTGATTGACATGATAGAATGTTGTTCTTCACCTCTTATTCACTTTTTTCCCTTGAGCAATGATGAATGGGACAGATACTTTTCTCACTCAAGTTGAATTTACATAGTATACCTTTATGCCGAGATAGAATATCTTTCTTGACTATATGGTATTGATTATTAGGATGTACACGTTTGTTTAAGGATGACTTTTTCCCTTTTCATTTTCATAAAGTCATTAAGGTTGGAAAAGACCTACAAGATCATCTAGTGTGACCATCAACCTCCCACCAATATTTCTCTCTAAACCGTGTCCCTAAGTACTATTTACCCTTTCCTTAAACAGCTCCAGGGACAGTGACTCTACCTCTTCACTGGGTGACTTGTTCCAATGCCTAACCAGTCTGTCTAAGAAATTCTTCCTAATATCCAACCTGAACTTTCCCTGGTGCAAATTAAAGATGTTCCCTCTTCTAATACTAATTACCTGATAGAAGAGGCTGACCCCTGCTTGGACATAACCTACTTTCAGGTAGTTGTAGAGAGTGAAAAGGTCTCCCCTGAGCACTCACTTCTCCAGAGAACAATCCCAGTTCTCTCAACTGTTCCTCATAAGGCTTGTGCTCCACATCCATCACCAGCTTCACATCCTTCCTTTGGACACACTCCAGGGCCTTGATGTCTTTCCTGTAGTGAGGAGCCTGAATCTGAACGCAGTACTTGATATGTGTCCTCACCAGGGCTGAGTAGAGGGGGATGATCACCTCCCTGGTCTTGCTGGCTACACTAATTCTGATACAAACCAAGATGCCATTGGCCTTCTTGGCCACCTGGGCCCACTGCTGACTCACAGGTATTGATCAGCACCCTTAGATCCTTTTCTTCCATGCAGCTTTCCAGTCGCTCTGCCCCAAGCCTTTAGGGTTGCCTAGGGTTGCTGTGACCAAAATACAGGACCTGACACTTAAACTTGTTGGATTTTATCCCAATGGCCTCTGCCCAATGTCCAGATCCCACTGTAGGGCCTTCCTTTCCACAGGCAGGCTGACAAGGAATTATTTTATCACCCATGCCTTGCATCTCAGTAGTTTGTAAGCTATTTATATATATTCAGTAAAACAGCCTGTAATACCTCCATACTAATAGCAGAGTTTAAGAAAATTAATGATTCAAACATACCTGAATATACCTATTTCTATTGGCAGATTTCATATTTTTTAATTATATAATTTCTCTATTCTGGGGCAATAGGGATGTGGATTGACAAGTTAATAGCACTTTGCATATTATTGGTAATAGAAGGGAATGTCATTTATTTTAGAAATGTTAAAACAAATCCTACTACTTTATTTCAGGACTATCAAACCTGGTTAGATTTAAGGGAGCTTGAATGTAAAATGGGGGAGCGTTACATCACCCATGAAAGTGACGACTCTAGATGGGAACAGTATTCAGGAGAACATGGACTGCAGTATCCAGCACACCTTATCAGTCCAAGTGCTAACCACAATGAAAACACCACGCTACAAGAAACAGAAATGAAAGCCCTCAGTGAGCGTGTCAGCATCCTTTAAGTTGCATCCCTATAATCTGTCAAAACACTGTGGAATTAATAAATACATACGGTCAGGTTTAACGTTTGCCTTGCAGAACTGCCATTATTTTCTGTCAGATGGGAACAAAGCTGTTATGCTGTTACACTGTTGATGGATCTGAGTTGCCAAGACAAATCAACAGAAACATTTTTGTGTGACCAACTGTGTTGTATTTACAAAAGTTCCCCAGAAACACTAAACTTGTTATTGTGAATGATTCATGTTGTATTTAATGTATTAAAACCTGTCTCCACGGTGCCTTTTCAAACTAGTATTTTTCTTACTTGAGCCTTATTTGGTAAGAGAACTTTCCCATGAAGATCTGTGTTTTTTTGTTTGTTGTTTTTTGCATCATTAGTTTTGTAATTGTAAGTAAACTCTTGAAGAGTAGGTTATTACTGCTGTTCTGTGAACAACTACTACTATTTGGATAAAAGCTTTATTTAGTGCAGGGGAAAAAATAGCAAAAAAAATAACAGAATGCATAGCACTGTACAGTTCCAAATCAGACAACCTGTGTGTATGTTTGTGTATATAAATAGACACACACATAAGGTATAACCTGCTATTCAGCCTAAATGCCTTAGTAATGTTAACTGCAGCATATGCCAGTTGTATTTTGCTTTTTCTCAAAATATTCTTCTCTAATAGGAATATTCTGTAATATGTACATTCAGAACCTAAATAACGTCAATTTTGTGTATGTTTTCAATAAAAGCCTTGTTAAAATAGTTCACTTGAGTAACATTACTGTTAAAATATCCTCAGGCTGGCATCAGAAGTAGCTGGGTAAGTTAGCTTTATCATTAAGAAGACTATGTGGAGGTAGGTAGAAAAACACAGCTAGCTAGCCTGTGGACCTATAAAACACATTTTGTAAGAACTGGCTTGGGCAAACTTTATAACATGAGTTTGTATAGTTTTGAAGCATACTGTGGGCAGTTGAGGACATGGATTTTGCACAAGTGAAATTAAGATGAATTTAGTTTTTAGGGAAATGTGCTGTTTCTGCTGAGATCTGTTCAACCTTGAGTTCTTTTGAACTGACTAATATGGATCTCTCCTATCCTCCTTCACCTGAAAATTTTAAAGATACTCCTGTTAGTTTATAACAATTACTTTGCCTTCCAGCTCTAACCCATTCAGCTTTAACTGAGAAAGTTGTGCAGGCTGTAATTTGAAGTAGACACTAGAGTAACTCAGTGATGAGCTGGAGATTACTCTGTGCCACAGGCTTTCTCAAAAACAAAACAAACAAACAAAAAACCACAAAACAAATAAACAAACAAAAGAAAGCCAAAACAACAGTTGAGATATAGATATTGAAGAGAGAAATTTAAAAATAGAGAAAACATGAATGGGATGTGAGGGAGAAGTATACAGAGAGCTAATGACTACATTCAGCAAACCTCTACTAATCAAATGCTGATTCTATGTCAATCCTAAGATTTTCATCAGTAAAATTCTTTCTTTCCTCCCATAAAACTTTGTCCAGAAGTTAATGCCAGATACAAAAAAAGAATAAGCCAGCAGAATTTTTAAAGTAATTTGGGCCTTTGCTGGATTGATGCTGTATTTTGTAAAAGTTCACAATTATTTTGGAGGATACTCATCTGTCTGGCCAGTGCCATTTCTGCTCTTAGCCTTGGTATAAAACAGCATGACAGTAAAAGACACCAAACACCATATGAGTGGCTACTGTTTGTTTGTTTTTTCAGTCCATTTTGAGGGTAATTAAGTGTACTGACAAAACGTATACCCGATTCAAGTCAATAAATGACAAGAAATTATAAAAAGCCATTACGCAGGAATTGACCACTTGTTTCCTAGCCAGAGTGAGTATAACCTATGTAAAGACCTTGATTTTGAAACACTGTGCATTATTGGTCATTGTGGGGTTGGTTTGTTTGCTTTTCATTCAGATCAGTGTTAAGTAAAATAAATATAAAAATCAGGCTGATTATTCTATACTCAGTAAAAGCTCCAAATATTTGCGTATATTTAAAAGCGAGTCCACCTAAAGGTGCAGTGTTGAATTCATGATTTTATGATAACGATCTCACAAAAGTGATTTAATTTTGTTGTCTCGCCTTTCTGTGATAAACAATGTCAGAGAAGTAGATCTCTGCTTTCATATTGATCAATCAAGTAAGTCAAGATTTTGTTAGTGGCTTATTTTTATTTATAGTTAGTGTTCTAAACCTTGAGCAAAGTAATAGTGAACAAGAGAGTTAAAATTTTCAAAAATATCAAACAGCACTGAGGCTAGTCAGGAGATTAAAGCAGAAAGCATACTTTACAGCTTTTAATGCCATCTCTAAAAAGTTATGTGACTAAACTAGAACCAATACTACTTTTCATTAAGGAAGGACATTGAATACACTAAATTCTGTCTTCTATTGACTAAAAATAACAATGCCCATTGTGGACAAGAGTTTGCTAAGCACAAGCCTAAACTGATAAAAGTATGCTTAATCTCATGGAACATTTATGATATATATACAACGTAGCAGAGCACATTAAAAATAAATTACTATTCTGACACATTCTGGCTAACTCAAAAGCATAATTTGAAAGGAACTCCTGTATTATTAGAGGCATATCATATTTTTTCCCCTATGACTCTTGCTTCATCTCTTTAAGAGATTTCTTTTTTATTGTGCAAATATTCATTGCTTTTCAGAAAAGAACCTACCATTAGCCAACATAATAAATTAAAATTTTCCTTGCTGCTGTACAAAAATGTTACACTGTGAAATCTGAACTGTTTGCAGTCCAGCCAGACAGATGAATTCACTGATTCTTAACTCAAAGCAGAAGTGGAAACTTGCTCTTCCAGATGCATCAGCATCTAAGTGTACTACAGCAAATCTGGAATTTTGTTGTTGTACATGATTTTCTTTCCTCTCCTTTTCTCACTCAGGTAAAAGGAATGGAGGAATGGTAGGCTTCACTGCAGTCATCTTTTTCATGGCTTTTAGATTTTCCTTTAGGCTGAGAATTCCTACTCATGCATCTCAGAAGCAAAAGTCAACAAAGATTATTCTGTAGAATGAGCATCAAGCTGAGAGTTGACTAGTAGTATTTCCTTTTCTGCTGTGCCACTACATTATCAAAAGCATATCAAGCACACATGGTAAATGGCCCTTCTCACTTCAACCATTTTTATTCATTCAGATTGTGTCCTTATCCTACTTCTTGTCCAAGCAGTTGAACTAGCTCAACAAGTGAGGTGAGCAGAAAGCACGCACTTCAGCAACCACTACAGTTCAACTCAATCATTTTAATAATGAACCTTGAAGCACCATATACTTTTATAAACTTTTCAGCCCACAAGATAGAAAGATCAGAATTGAGTAACTATGAATTATGGTTCAGTATTATTGAGATAGGACTACCAAAAATACTGACATCCTGGATAAGCTCTGCATAATGGAGATAAACCAGAACCCTGTCCCTGGAGCTTGTCAGCATCTCGTTTTCCCAGGTAAATAACTGTTACTTTTTCCAGAATTATAGGCTGTAAATTTATTCTAGTTGCTTATTCTAGACATCCACATACTGCACTGACCACCTTCTATCACGTCTGTACCATTGCACCTGAACTGAAACTCTCATATTCATTTGTCTATAGTGCCTGTGCTGTATGGGAAAGGGCTCAGACAAACCAATTACAAACCAAAGGAACCCAATAGATCAGGTTATTTTAAGTGTCACAAAATTTGGTACTCCAATTAGATGTTCATCCAAGATTTTCACTTTGATTTTTGCTTAGCGTATTCTTAGCAACTGGAGCAAGTGAATCATGGAACCAGGTATGTGAGGGTCTACTGGAGAAACTGGACTTTGCCTGCTCTTACTGAGAAAAACTTAACTTTAGTGAAGAACAGGCACCATGTGTTATAAGAGGTATAAGTTATTTTCTCACTTGCTAGGCATATCTACAAACTTGAACATCGGCCGTTCACAAACAGGAATATAAGAAAAATATACACTTATATTTCAGACTGAAAAGTTGCTATTTTGAAAGATCCCACAAAGTGAGATGTTTTGCTTGGGAATCTACACTGCATGGTCCTGCACCCAAAGGTGTCTTGCTGTGCTGTGAGCCTGGAAGGCCTGAGGCCCCATCCTGCAAACACCTACCAGGCAGAATGCCAGCCAGGGGAGTTACAAGGAAAACAGGCATGATGAAAACATGCCCTTAAGGCAAATACCAAAATCTGCAAGCACATGAATACTGCCAAAGATTAAAAAAATTGGCAGATTCTGAAGTATTTCTATTCCAGACAAACTATTTTCCAATATGAATTTGTGATACGTTGCCAAATGTAATTTAAATAGTTTCCAATATATGCCTTCAAATAAATAGTGACTTAGCAGTGATAACTTCTTACACTTTTAATGGAGAATGACTTTTCAGAAAGTCCTAACACCTAATACCCTTTGAAAAGCAAGTAGTTCAGTTTGGTTCCAGTGTTGACTTAGGCATAAAAAAGCATGAGTTAACTTTGAGCAGTTAGATCACTAAATTTAATAAGTGGAAAGTATACTGACTTAAGAAAAAATAAAAACTAACTTAAGGGATCTGGCTCACATTTACCAAGTAAGCAGCTGCAGCAGTTTAAGATGTTATTGTCTATCTCCCCAGCTGTTTGTTATTGGCCAGAAATCATCTATCAGAGTCCTGCATTTTTCAAAAATGAGTTGGGAGATTGTAATCCTGAGTCTCTTGGACTTTCAAGGTGTCTCAGGCTTCCTGATTTCTTCTGGAATACAATGTAAGGTGAGTTAGTGAGTAACTAAGGACTGCTAAGTATTCTAGTCCTGAGTCTTCTGATTGTACCTTTGCATGCTCTCAGTTCAGCTGATCACTACAGGTGTTATGAATAAGGACCTTAACAAACAATATTAAAACAATAATTAAATTGAAGGTGAAACCCCATGTTCCCCATGTTTATGTAGAAGCATGATATATCTATTGGCTTTATGCTATAATGTCAAAAGGAAATATGTGCAGAAACACATACAGTCAAGTATATTCATGGCACAGAATGGTGAAGAGCTAGAACAGTTTTTTGTCTCTGTATGGTAACTTCTGAATCACTGCCTGAACCTTTGATTGATCACCTGAGGCGAGCAATGAGTCAGCCCTGCGAGCACAGGTGAAGGCAATTCACCTGTGCTGCTGGAAGGGGTGGAGCCTGGCTCCACCTCTCCTAGACCCATTTAAGAGCTGACTACCAGGAGGGAAGGATCTTTTCTGGAGATTCACTCTGCTGGAGTTTCACAAGCAAGCTCAGGATATGAGTAAGTATCCTATCTTTTCTGCTTTTTTTCTGCTTTGGTATAATGACTATGTAGCTAAGCTCTCTGGTATACCTCATAACTATAACATCTGTACATTCATTGATTGTATGGTCTTGTAGTCCCAGACTGGTACACCTATGATAGACCTACTAATGGAAACATAATGGCTGTTATCTTTCATAAGGAAATAAGGAGCTCTCCATGAGGAGCATTTCTATTCCTGGGATGAACTCAACTTTACTGTGGTCCTAATGGGAAATTCTGTACATCAAAATTCTATCTAGAAGATGGACGAGTTCAAGGCTAACTGCTTTGAGTCTAGTAAAGTGTTTCCTTGAATCCAGTGTGGTATGAAGAAACTTCTGTACCCTAAAACATGCGGACTCGTGTGTGTGGATTCCCATTGATAAAAAGTTGGAAGAGTTACTATTAAATGAAAAAAGCATCATTAGAAACTTGAAATATTCCTTCTCATTCCCAAGCTCAGTAAAACAGCAGGAAAAATTTCACAGGCTGTTGATTTCAAGGTCATAGCATTTCAGGAAATTCAGAGAGGGAATTGCAGTACTGGGATGGTTAATCTATGCTTAGAAATTGGAGAGAGTACAAAGCAGAACTGCTAGAAATCTGGAATTCTCCTTCACTTTTTGCAGCTACCTTAAGATTTTCTAGAAATGTAGCCACCTGTCTCTGAGGAGTTAAGGAAATTCCACTCCTTACAGCAGGGGTAACATGTTTAAAGGAATACAGTTGCTTGCTTTAAACAGATTCATGTAAAACAGTGATAACTCCAAAAAGCAGCCTCAGATAAGGATTACCTTTACAAACAATATCCCAACTTATATCTCAGTTTTTTCTCATGGGAACTAATGATGCTTAGAAAATGCAATGTTCATATATATGCAGGAATGTACAATATTCTCAGTCAGTCCCTCAGTTTGTTTCTATATTTAACTCAATTTGTAGATGGCAAAGTGACAAAGTAAGTAGATGAATGACTTGGGAGCAGTAATCTGGAACTTCAGGCCAGAAAAAGGCATGTGGTAGCATACTGAATCGTGGTTTTTTTTAACCCTCGTAACTAAACTTGAATTCACCTAAGTAACACACATCTTTAGATGAGAGATTTCTGGGAGGTACAGCCTATGCAACATGTGTAAACTGGGAATTACAATCCAGATACAAGAAAGTCTTTTTATAAGCTCAGACTCATTGGGCATTTAAAGAACGTACAAACACACTGCTGCGAACATAGACAGCTACCTCAGAGATCAGTGTCCACATGCAAGATGCTGAGTTGAGGGGCAACCCTTCAAGTCCTCCTAACAAGCAGTAGCTAGCCTCAACAGATCTGAGTTTGGGGCCAAATTCAGTATTAATCTATTAGTGCATGGCTAAAAATGTTCCATGGCAAAACAAAGTAGAATATATTTTCACAGAATTTGAGATTAAACTACACCTGTGCATTGCCTAACCAGAGCATGGCGCAGATCTCAGTGAACACTGATAAAGCAGCTTTGCAGCTCAGTGTAATAAGAAATAGACCAGCAGGTCAGAGATGGATGATACTGCTTAAATCCTTCACGGTACTATATGAAAAAAAGTGTGATTGCATGATATAATGTACTCTTTTGATTATGGGGTTAGAGGAGTTGATGACTGTACTATGGCTGTCACTTCTTCTCCAGCTTTCAGCCAAGGTGACCTTTCCTGTCTCTGGAAGCATTCTGTGTATGCAGTTCCACTGCCTGGTGCAAGGGGACACTTCCTGTCCTTTTTTAAAAAGCCTCAGGAACTCCTTGCCATTCCACAGCCTACCCTTTTCCTTTTGAATCTCTCAAACCTCCACCATTCCCTTTAGGACAGAAGGAGAGGACAGCCTACCAACTCTTCATAAATTCTCTGCTATCACAGTGGAAGATAATAGACTTAGTTTTGGGAAAGAGACAGCAGAATGGGAAGATTGGGCAATACAGAAGATGCATGACTAGTATAAACTCATAAAATCATAGAGTGGTTTAGGTTGGGAGAAATACCTTAAAGATCATGAAGCTCCAAACTTCCTAACACAGGCAGTTTCCAAACTCTGGATCAGGCTGCTGCATCATGAATACTGCAGTATTTTTTTCATGCTTAGTAACTTTGCTGTCACAAGTACTTAAAGTCATGGTCCTAATGCCTTGGGTCTAATTTGTTTTACATTATCTTATTCATATATTCATAGCCTTAACAGTGACAAAATTAATTCCCATGTCATCTACTGCTTTAATCTTCTCTCTTGGTTATCTCTTCTCTTTTGGTAGCTAAGCTGTATCTTTTTTACTAGTAAAATGATGTCAGCCCAGCTTCTAGAGCAGACATTTGTAAATGGGCACAAAGTTCTCTTACAGCTGTAGAGATAAATTCCTGCTCATGTGAGAGTAGTTCGCAAAGTGTGACCAGATCCAGACAAGAACATCACTTCAGCTAAGTAGCACAAGTTCACTGCTCAGACAAAGCCTTGCCCTCCCTTTCCAAATAGCTTTGCCAAGTAGCTGTCATTGGTTTATGATGTGGCCAATTGTGCTTTGGCCTGAAACCACCCAACTCTCATCTGTGCCAAGCAAGTAACTGTCACCATCCCAGATTGAACCCAAACCAGTGATCAAAGACAAAAATGTCAGGGTACTGCCAATTTTCTGTGCCGTCCAGGAACCAGACCTTGTTCTGTCTGATTTGCATGATAACTGAAATAAGGGACTGTGTGATTTTGTTCAATTCTCCAGCTCTTTTCAAACTTTTTTTATTATTATTATTAAAGGTACTTATTAGCTAGTTCATATTTCCATCATAGTGCGGACTTTATTCTCTGTATAACTTTAATTATCATATATAATATTCAGCAAGGAACCACCCTTAGAGAATACCGACAGCACTAAAGTTCTGGAGCGCAGCCCCGAGCGGGACGTGCTGTGCTGTCGCTGCAGGGCGGGCCGGGCTCGGCACGGAGGGAGCTGAGCGCAGTGCCCTGACGGAGCGCGCCACCTCCCGGCCGGCGGCGGTACTGCGCCAGGCAGTCCCCAAAACGAGCCCGCGGTCGCTCCCGTTTCAAAAAGCCGTGAGGTGCGTAGCGCATAACGTTCACTGAAATGATTAGCTCTTTAATTGATAATGAGCACATAGCACTAAGAAGCTTTAAAAAGTAGGAAGGTTAGCTTGTGTGAAAATCTTTTAGCAATTTGAATACAAGATCCTGAAATTTCTTTACGACAATTGGTTAAAGAGAAATGAGAACAAGTGAATCTGGTTTACTTATGCCCACAGGAGCATTAGTATTCCAATTGCAATATCTTCATATGTAGAACAAAGTAATTCCTCCCTGAAAGACAGGCAGAATGAAAAACGAGTTAAAAACCACAGCTAAACTGTAGTGAGATATGCTTGAGGATACAAAAAGGAAGGTAAGATGTAAAACCACCTGAAAATTGATGTGAGTTGATTATCCATCTCTGATTTCTTTCTGTCTACTTCTGGATATAGTCCTCTGTTCTGCCACATCGCTCTCTGGATTCTAAGAGAACTCTTTATTCAGTATCTGGCCTTCTGCATTTTGCTATTTCCTCCTAATTCTGTATTTTAAAGTTTGTCTTCAGCTAAGTTTTTAAGCACAAATAGATCCCAATTCTATTGAGTAATTCAATACATAGCTTTCGTCTATTAATTACTAGAATGCACTGAGCAAATTCTGCCATTTAATTTAGCCTTTTCCAGTAGAAGTTCAGGTCAGTCTGTGTACATCTATCTCCTTGCAAGTATAGCTGCTTATTTTTCTTAAATACAGTGTAATTACATTACATTTTCCATCTCTGTAGAAAATATTTCTTAGCCTTTATTGGATTCTAGCCAGGCATCCAGTGTTGTAGCTCTCACATTCTCACTATGTGTAGTAATATTTTCCCTATTTTCCTTGCTACCAGTTCAGTTTGTCTGCACATCATAAGTCAGATGTGGACAGAAAATGGTCTCTTCTTCAGAAGTACTGTATGTGAATTCTGTGCAATCTCTACCAAAACCAGCTGTGGTAGGGCTCCTTTATGTATTTAATAAAACCTATTTCCAATACAGTCCTTTTGCTACAGGCTCTCAAAATGTCTGAAGTCAAAACAGCCGCAGTATGTAGGTAGTCAGTTTGGAACTGGATTACTTCTGTATCTCCTTGTTAGTTCAGAAGATTGAGGTATTACAAGATGAGCATGGAAAAACTTGAATGTAGGTAGCAAATGGAAATTCAAGGCTGTATTCTGCCAGCCAAAGAGTCACACCTGGGATTATACAGAGATGTTAGCAGATTAATTTTAAGGTATGATAACATTGTTCAAGTGCAGTGCAGAATAAATTATATGTTGGTTTCCAAGCACAGCAAATTGAAGGAAAACAAATACTGCATCAAAATGAAATCCATAACAAAATTAATTGCAGGCAGATTGTATGGCCATCCCTGTTTAAAAGTGAAGTTAATCCAAACATTCAAGATATTTCTGCAGAGTAAGCTACTCTGTTATTCTACAAAAGTGTGCGCACTAAAAACTAAATTCAGCATCACTAAGAAGTTTATATTTAAGACTGGAATACATACATACAATAATCTTATTGCAATGCCTTCTATTTTATTATGTTGGCCCACAACCTCAGAGGCAGATGGTGGTGGTATGGCAGTAGAGGCTGAACATTCCCACCACTATTCCATGACATTTTGTTGCTGTGTGGCAGATGGTAGCAGAGGGGCAACCCGTCAAAATGATGTCTGACATGGAAGTGTGTATGAAGCAAAGGTGTGTTGCTAAATTCCTCCATGCAGAAAAAAATGACACCCACTGACATTCCTTGATACTTGCTGCACGTTTGTGGAATCCAAACAATAGATGTGAGCACAGTGAGGCAATGGGTAGTGCTTCAACAGTGATGACAGTGATGTGATATGAAAGATATCCATGTTCAGGACTGCCATGAAGCTTTTTACAAATGTGGTATACAAGCTTTTGTTCATAGCCAGCAAAAATGCATAGCTAATGGTGGTGACTGTTGAAAGAAATACACTTTGTTGCCAAGAATTTGCTCTATCAAACAGTGTTATTGTGATCTTTGTATCTGCTGAAGTTTCCATGGAAATAAGTAGGAGGTATTACTTTTGGAGCAACCTACACATGAATCCTTTTGTATCAATGGAATAAATTCCTCAGTGTAATTACATGTGACTAATTACATGCGACTAGGTACATTACTTGGATATTTTACTTCCTTCACTGTGATGACTTAGTGTTTCTGAACTGAGCAGCACTTTATTCCTTAGATGTGGAAAGTGAGCCTGTGCAGGCCTCTGGGTATGGCATTCAGACGTCATTAGTCCCACTCTAAAGCTGAAGATAGATTTCTCACTGATTTAGCTGCACCACAAGTATCATACAGTGTACTGTCCCTTTGTTTTTTGTCAAATGTTGTTGAATGCACTTTCATCTATGCCTTTTCCCAAAATGTGCTGGTTTAGGATCTGCACTGTTACGCAGATCCATCTTTGTCTGTGAGTATCATCTACTCTTACTCAGTTTTATTTTGTTTGATACTTATGTCAGCCAGAAGTGAAAACAGTTTGTGTGAAAAAAGGTGTAATCTTTTCAAAAGGCACTCTCTGTATGCTGCATTTTCTAAAATGCACTACTATTTAACAAAATCGTGTCTCCTGTTTGAGAATTCCCTATGAAATACTGAAGATAAAATTAGCATAAAAATCAATCTAAATTATTCTGTTTATTCCTCTCTAGTATTATAGCACTGAAATAAAAAGTACAAATATTTTACAAGTGTGAGCGGGGCAAAGATTACCTTAGCAAATTGCTACCAGGAGATGGCACCATTAACAAAATAATTTAAATGCCACATGCAGTTCCTTTCAACCATCTGTATGTCTGACTCCTTTGACAATTCCAGGTGTTGTCGGAACCCGATCCTGCAAATCATTTCTCCAGGCAGCCCTCACATGTGAGGGATCCCAGGCATGGCGAAAAGACTGCGGGTGTGACTGGTGAGTTACGTGCTCGGGTTGTCTTATCACCTCTTGTTCTGACTTACCGTGTACAGTAAGTGACTAACAATTGCTGGCCTGTGTTTTCTTCCCTGATTAGCACATAGTTATTTGGAAAAGAGTCTGATGCCACATCCCTTATTTACATATTATTTGTTATTTACTAAATCTTACTCTACGTAGACTACAATTAAGTTGCATACAGAACTTAGTATAAATTCTCAGCAAACTAATGACTGAAGTGGACTTGGATTAAAGCTGAAAGAGCAGAATGTGAGTTCCCAAACAATTCTTTCTGGAGACTGAAGGTATGACCTTCCTCCATCACTGTTCCAGCATTTCCAAAGAAAAACACTGAGCACTTTTATTTCTACAAGCCTGTAGGGAATCAAACTTAACATGACAGGAACTAAGAATCTGAGATCTCATCCTTACCTGGCTCAGAGATCATTCTTGTGGTACAGTTGTTCCCCTGGAAGGTGAAGGCAAGGTTTAGGCTGATTGTTATAACATCAGAATTTCACCTGTTGACTGCAGACAACCTGGAGCTCTGCATGCACACAGCTTGCAGGATCGGATCCCTAGTGTGACAGGAAGCAAAATATTTGCCATGTGTTTCATCTCAGTTTCAAGCACTTCAGTTTTTGAATCCTCTCAGTTAAGTAATTGATGTTTGAATGCCCTGTCCTTTGCTTGGTATTTTAAAATAAACCATGCTATAGCATAGATTATGAATCAAAACAGCTGCTGTAGCTGAACGTTGTGTACTTAAATGGTTAAGATGGTTCTTTGTGAATCATGATAACTAATCTTGTATACAATCTTCAGCGCACAGGGAAATACACTTTGTGTATAGTGGCTTTAAAAATTCATTATATAGATCTGATGTTTACAGTTGGCTTTTTTCTGTCACTTCCTGCAAAAAAAAAAATTGAACAACAAAAATTTCCAGTTGTCAAAATTGTATTTCTCATATGCCATACTATATGAGATTATGAATAAATCTTTTGTCTTCTGCAAATGGAACCTGATAACTGTTAAAAATGAGTTTTTACAGGAATTGCAGTGAGCTATTTGTATGGCAGTCAAACTGGTACAGAACAACTCTGGGCATGGCTAAAACATGTAGGTGAGGGTACTTCATTTGTTTGTTGGCCTGAACTTTTAGGTGTCTGAATTGAGATATCTTTTGCCTTTCTTTAATTTTTACTTTCCGGTCAGGTTAGGGAAGTAAAACAAGCAAGGATATGAAAGCATGCAGGAGTTACTTAACGAATTTGCACAAAAAAAACCCAGACAAAAATACTGTTCTGAAATTGTATAAAATTTTTTGTAAAGCATGCTAGTGCTCCTAAAGGAAGTAGGTATGAAGCCTTCATTTCTTTACTAAAACAGAGGATACAAGACAGTTTTCAAAACATGCAAAAACAGTTAGAAGGTTAAATATTTGGGCACAGCGGTTAAAACAAACACAGAGATGGAAAGCAAAACAATGCAGAGATCATCAGGAAATTAGGAGAGAAGACTGAAGTATGATGCTGTTATTCATCATACAAACAGCTTAGATAAAGAAAAAATAGTGTAATGTTGTCAAAAAGGAAATAATAGAGGAAGAATTATAAGTGGAAAAACACATGGAATTGTGAACAAGGTGTTCTCAACCTTTTGTTATCTACAGGGGAAAGGGAAATACAACTGTATATAATCTTTGTAACAAACAGGAATTCAGAGTACACTTCTTATCCTAAGCAACAATACACAATACCTTACGTGCTGCCTAGCTACTTGGGGATGCTTAAATATATATAATACTATTAATCAGTCTCTTTTCTGCAGAATGATTGTTGCAGCAATTCTCGTCTTTCCTAACTTATAGTCTTTCTTCTGCAATTTACTGAAGCTTATGCCCTAAGCCATGCTTACTGTGGTCTAAGCTTTAGTATATCTTCTAAGCCATGCCTTCTATGAAATTTAGTGCAAAATATACTTTCCTGCACACAGCCATGGAAGAGGATACAGCAGAGTTGGAGTTCTGAGTGTGCACTGTTTTTATCTATGATTATGCATGCAGTTTTAAAACATGGGGAATTAGATTTAAAGACAATTAAGAAATGGCATTTTCCTCTTTGGTTCTTCTTGTCTATGTCCTTTTAATAGAATTATTCATCAATTAGTATATTCATTTAAATGAATGAGTGCAGGCAACAAGTTATACTGAGATGAAAGCAGGATCTGTTGAAGCTGGGTGTCCCTACTGGCTATTCATCTGATTGTCATGAGAGGATCTGGCTGCTGAATGCTTGAGTGTTTGGAGTCTAGGGAACCCAGGGGAAGCCTGAGTACTGCCCTTTAACCTTCTGGCCTCTTGGCTTACTCTTAGATTCCCTCATAAGAGCTGAAGCTTGCCATCTACTTCCTATCCCAGCAGCAATTCCAAACTCCTATTGTCACTTTAAACTCATAGAATCTCCCTGAAAAGTGCACTATCCAGTTTACTACTTAACCCTTCTGAAGCCAAATCAGTGCTGTGATCAGAGTTCACAGTAACAAAACTTATGCCCTAGCTTTTTTAAGCAAAAGGTTATTTTATACTTAATAAAAATATAGGAGATATTACTGGAAAAAGAAAAACATCCTAAACATAATGCTCTCTCCCTTTATTTTTGAAATTCTTGAAAATTTTCAGGAAGATGGAGAAGAGAGATGTCTTCCTTCAGCAAGGTACACCATCAGCTGCAAGGTTTTAATTTCAAATCCTACATTTTGCAGGCAAGTTTTGCTACCAGGATGGTGCTCTGCTATTGGAAGCATTTATAGGTTACAACTATATGTCTTGTGCCAGCAGTCACTAAGCACAAAAGATGGAGGGTGACAGCAGGAAAATGTACCACAGATTTATTTAATTATAAATTAAATGCACTTTGTAATCAGATGTGCACTTTGAAGATATTCAAATCTGATTACAATGTTCACACTCCAGAAGCTGTACACTGATGGACTCACACATAGATTGTGTCTTTCCAAGGAGAATATGTGCATCATAAAACAGTCCCCCTAAATAGCATATAATAATAACTAGACAAATCAAATATTTTGTGGCACATTAACAAAATCTGAAAGTGTTATGGAACAACTAGGACATACCTGTTGTGAACAGATTTCATGGAAAGTCCTATGTCAGCCTGAGTTAAGATGGAACAGAAAGGTAGTTGCATACACGTACTGCAAAGATTAGGTGGTGGTTTCTTGTTGAAACAATTGCCACAAATCTAGAAAACAGCAGCACTAAGGGATAAAGATGATACTAATAGAGACACTTTTTATTCATCCAGAAGAAATCATACATATTGTTAGTTCAATTTACTCCACGGGGTAGACTAGAACCTCATAACAGTTATCATTCCTGTAAACCTAAGAAATTTTGAGTGAATGTTGAAGAAATAGCTTGAGCCTTGATTAAATAGTTCCAAAATCAAAGGTTTCAATCTTTTATTTAGCAAATTCTTCTTACTGACTGGGAGCTCTCAGTGTTTGAAATGTGAACCTTATTTCTTGTAAAAGATGCCTGACAGATTCAGACCTGTTCTCAGAAAGCTCAAATCACAGAAACTGGAGAGCATAGGGTCAAGTCACCAGTCATGGAAGGTTTTTGTAGTAAGCCAATAAGAGAGTGAGAAACTGTGCTGTATAAGATCTGTGGAACAACTCTATTCCCAAAACATCAGGCATTAACTTCCATCTGACACATTTTTTTCTATGCTTGCATTTCTGTTTCAGAGTTGACTGGAAAAAAAGGGAAATCTTCCACATGATCTGCTGATCCTGGTCCTTGGTTCCTGCAAAAAAAATGCATCTATTCTTCCTCAACATCCCTCAATTTGACAATATTGGCATTCAAGATCTGAAGTGCTGTAAATGTATGTGTATATATGTGTATAATACATATGCATGTATGTATTTCTTTTTCTTAGTATTCGTAGTCCTGGTAAATCTAACAGCCAGAAAAGTTTTATCAGCCATAGAGCAAGCTGGAACTTTCCAAGCTTAAAGGAAGCATGCTTTGAGGCACATCTTCCTGTACTCTAGACACTTTCTTAGAAACTTAGTAAGTTCATTTTATCTCTACTGACTTTTGGTAAGTTATCACATTACTCGTTTCTCCTCTTTAAGTATGTTTTATGTAAATTTTAAACTATGTTGCCAGTTTACAGGTAAGTCCATCTGTCTACACAAGTTTATATAAACCTATGTCTATTAGAGCCATCAGAAAGTAACATGATTAATGCAACTTTAGAAGGCTTCTAGTTCACTAAGAGAAGATTGAGTACTTCAGAAGCAGTACTTTGACAATATTTAGGCTCTGGAATCACAGGTAAAATCTCAGTACAACTCACTCAATTCTTCAGCCTCCCAAAGTACCTAATGGAAGTAAGTTTGGAACATCCTCATGAAAACTTGAGGTGAGCACCTTCCAGCACTAAGTTAAAATATCTTCCGGAGTTCATTCTTCAGTGAAGTATTGTGTTGGTGGTTCTGAGCAATACTTGTCTTCCAAATTTCACAGCTCTTTCTCCCTGTAGGAGACTCCATTTGAAAGTAGCCTGTGGAAGCCATAAATAAAATTAATCAACAATTTTGTGTGCAAAAAAATATGCCTATGGGCATATTGACTATGTGAAGTGCCTCTTCTAGAAGAAAAAAAAAAGTCAAAAAAAACAAGCCCTTGCCCATTTGGACTGTTCAGACATAAAAAAAATCTATCTGCCTTTAGAAGAAAAATAAGGGGCTTTATATTTGTGACAAGCAGTACATTCTGGTTTTAGGCTGGCAAAGTTTTTGGATGATTGTTTTAAACATAGTATGTAAGCCTATTTATTCAAAATGACAGGACATGTTCCTTCATTGATACATGAAAAAGGAGTGATGGAATATACCTTTCTAACCAGTATCTTAGTTTGGACAATGAAACTTCTACTTTTCCCAGTTTATTCACAGGGTAAAGTCAGAGGTGAGAAAAATAATAGCCACTGAATCCAGGTTACTAGCACTGTTGATCTCTCATAGTCACTTCAGTTACACTAAGAGCTGAATAGCTCCAAAAGAAGTTATGTTCTTGTTTTTGTGATTCCACAGCTGTGATTTCTTTATTTGCAAAGTATAAAGACAAATATGGAATAAATAAGCCACTGCAAATATGAATTGAATTAACTGGAACAATGAATTAAATTTTAATTGAGTTATTTGCTAATGATTTTGCCACATTGAACCTTGCATTTAACTTCCATCCACAAACTGCAAAAAATCAGTGAGTTCTGTTTTCTTTTTTCCTACCATTTGTTAAAGGCTACAGGAAGAAGGAATTTTAAGTTCAATCTAAACCACAAGAGAACATAAAACACATCAACCGTCACCTCCAAATTATTTGTCAAAATAGAAATATATATGGTCATTACTTTGTACCTTGGACATAGCTTACATGTACTTCAGTGACGGTGAGTCCTCTAAGATAAAAAGAGAGAAGGCAAGGTAAATGTATAAAAATCTGAAAATAACATGTTAGGCTCAGGACAGATGGATGGAAAAAAAATGTCTCTTTCTGCAGGAGGCAGGATGCTATAGAGTTATAGGGCTATTTCAAATATCTCTGTACATTTTTTAAAAATCTTTGATATACTTTACATGCAAGTATGCTATACAAGAGGTTATGGTCTGATTCCTATATACTAGTTTATGGCATTCCCATTACTATAGAGATTTTATAGAAACTTGAGAAATCCATGTTCATGCCACACAGAACAGGCAACTAACTTTCTCCCTCTTCTGTTGTCATAATTTATTTTTAGCACTTTATCCAAAGAACTGTAAGTGAAGGAAGCTAATAAAACTCATTTGAGATAGAAGCTTGGTAACTACAGTCATTAGTGTATCTGAAGTCTGTTCTGTGTATTAGCACCATGAATACTAGGCTGATGTGTAGCAAAGAGCACCTGACAAAACAACAGAAGAGTTTCATGCCTCACAAGTTTAAGCCCCAGGTAAGAAACCCAGTCTTGTAGGTAGGCTGAAAAGATGTTGCAACCTGAAACGAAAGAGACTTGTAAGAGAGAAAATGAGATCCCTTTGGGTTCCAATAGGCTTCTGTTTGCCACGATTAAATCCTCTTTGTTTCATTAGGTACGTCAATGAAAAACAAACAACCAGATCAAGATAAAGGCTTGCAGCACATCTTTCTCTTTCCCTCCTGTGACAATTGCCACTTTTTTCATGGACAAGCTTAAAAGAAATGGCTTTGCTTGGGTAAAATTGATGAGATCTCTGTGCAGGTGTATAAGGCAGCTTCTGGCTTTAAAAAAAAAAGTGTGAAGCACTTATGTCATCAATGAACTGATCAGATGATAAGCATGCTTATTTCCTTAGCTCTCTAATTACTTTTCTCTCTTGAAGAAAGTATCTAGAATTGCATGGAGCCTAGGCTTAGACTGAAAATTTAATGTCAGTGGAAATTCACTGAAGTTATGCTTTTCCTGGAAAAATCAACCACTGTTACATTTTATGAGTCTCAAACAGAATTAAAGTAGTGTTGTAACTCTGGTTTGAGCCAAATGTTTGCTTCAGCAATTGTTTTAAATGTTACTGTTAATACAACATAGAGTTTCTATGTCTAAACAAAAAGATAATGGCAGCATACTAACTACATAAAACCATCATGAATTGGGGTCAAATAGACATACATTTTAATTATCTCTGTGAATGAAGAACATAATTCAGAGATACTTATTACCATCTACCATATTGCGAAGTAAGCAAATTTGTGCTTAGGGTAATTATCTTTGTAGTTCATAAAGTTCAAGAATTTTTCAATGCTTTCTCCTTCCTGCCTACATTCTACAGATATGCTACCTCTAGTCATAAAAATACACATACAGGACAAAAATCATTGCTGAATTAGTACAGGACTAATTGAAGTAACAGTTTGTATTATTGAAGTTAAACTGATACTCAGCTTAGGTATCCTTGATGAGGTGAGATAAGGGTTCACTCAGGTGCAGATACACAATGCAGTTTAAAAAAAAAGAAGCTAAGCTAGTTTCATAATTACACCTTTTTGTTGAGACTTCCTCTCAATGAAAGAATAGGATTCCACAAATGAAGTATGATTTACTGTGTTTATTTACACACACACCTGTTTATACACAGGCACACACACCTGTCTGTAAACAGTTCTTGCTTTTTTTTTTTTTTACTTTGGAGCCTTTGCAGGAAGCACTGCTAACTCGCTCTGCTCTAAGTTGGTGCTGGATATTGTTACTATTTGTTAAAACTCTCAGAAGCAGAGATGGATTTGGCTTATGTCTTAGTGCACAGTTCTTAATTGGAAGTTGTAGGAATCTCATAAACTGTGATGAGAGCCATGGAAGAGTGTGTTGCAGGGAAAAAAAAACAAAAGTGGAAGGAATGAAAATGGAAGAGAGGGCAGAATGAAAAATTAGTGAAGAACAGATTTAAAAAGTCTCAGCAGATGAAGCTGAGTGAACTTTTTGCCTCGTACTATCTGTAATGTCCAAGTCTGAAAATGTATTTATATATATATAAAATGACACACAGATTTTCTTAATATTTTCTCATGTCCTTATCACTGCGTAATGTTCTTACCTTCTGAAGCCACTTTTAGTTATGTATGTTATAGTAATACAATATAAAATACAAGATTGTGGTGATTTTTTTTCTATGCTCTGTAGTGTTACAGTGTATAATTTACCTGGATCATGTAAAGATTTTTCTGAAATGAGAATTTCACGGCTAGTCAAACTCAGCAGCTGAGTTGCTTTCTTTTTCTTTCCATGAGACCAAAAATGGGTTTTGTGACATACTTAGGTACTGGAGATTCAACAGCTCATCACATGAAATGGTCAGAATTTCAGCTCCAGATTTCCACTCCTAAGGAACTCCAGATTGTCTCAGTCTCAAATAATTCAAATTTTACTGGAGTGAGGACTTGGATACCAGATAAGCACTTATGACCAGCTCATCTGATGATATCACTTGTGTTGAAATTTAGAGATAAGAGTACAGAAATGAAGGAAATGTGGCACATTTGCTAATTTTTTTCATCATTACACTGTTATTTTTTCAGTTTCAGGAGAAAGTAAAGGTGTTGGCATACTAATGCCAGATACAGATACTTCTAAACTAGGAGATATTAAGCAGAAAAAGAAAATACTTTAGTGGGCATAAATAAGATGCAACGTTTGCCTATGGGGAAAATTTAATATGGCAGCAACACCAAACAACTGCAATAAAGTTCTGATAAGTTGTTTTTCCCCTCAGGATAATCCAACAGTTTGGTGTATTCAATTATTTTACGCGATCCTGAAGGGCTGAGAAAACTGTGTGGTTTGTTTTACAACTCTTATTCGTTATTCTGAAGGCATAGTTTCTTTACAGAAATGAGAATTACTTATTCCCAGTAATGTAGTTTGTATTAATAGCTTCCAAAGAAAAGGAAGTTTATGTAAAACACTGTGTAAGAAAGAAAAATACTGAAATGTTTTGTTGGTTTTTTTAAAATGATAAGAATGTCAATCACAGAAGAAGAAAGAGAAATGTATCTCAGTATTTGTATCTATAAGAAAATTTGGAGGCTTTTTGATTGTTTCTGCGGGTAGGGGGAGATAAAAGGTGCAGAAAAGGGCATTGTATTAGCTAAATATTGTATCTTACAACATCAGTCATTTCCTACTCAATAATATTGAAAGGGTCTAATTTATAAGTTTTTCCATTTCCCTGTTATGCTGGTTTGTAAGTTCTGACATTGCTACTGGTATGTTAATGAGAAGCTAGTGTTCCATTAAGAGTAAACCATATGCTCTACCGCATACTGTGAAAGAGAAAGCATATAATGTGACTGTTGCCTTAGTAACACATTAATTCATTTTGTCAGTGTTGGCACAGATCATTTCATTTATAAGAAAACAAGTATAATAGTTTACCACATCTATAATATTTACAGTGTTTCTGTTACAAAACAGTGACAAAATGAGTTTAAAAAATAGAGTTGGGATAGTATTATTAAAATATGGAATTTGTGGTAAAATTGTTCCCATACAAATTAAAAATAAGATTGGTGTAAAATTTCTTTTCATATTTTAACACCAAACTGTTTTCTATTTTGCATATTTGTATTCCACTAATAATATGCATAAAAATATAGTCCACAGAAAACCACAAATACATTAGCAGTTTTTAATGAATGCTAAACAAAATATTTCATACAACAGTTCTGTTAAATTACAACCATTACAACCTAATCGTATGTTATTGTGTTACTCATAACAAAGCTAAACATTTACCTCTTTTTTTATCTGTTCCTCCAGATGTTTCTTAGTACTTTAACCCTATTAAAACACTGGAAATCAAGTACTTGTTCTCTGAAGTGATCATATCTTCAATTTTATTCATTGAAGAAATAGGTACATATGTATAAATAAATGTGCATTATATGCTTTAGACAGAAGTGATGCCTGAATATGAATAAGTTTTACTAAGGAAAAAAGCAGAGAAGGAGGGAAGGCACTAAAATTTGCACCTGCAGAATGGTATCAATCCTGCTTGTTCTTAGGACATTCTAAAGCTGTAAATGCATGTCAACAACAAATATTATAAATCTGTAAGACACATCAAAATAAACATTATATTAAACTCTCCTGAAAAATTTTATTCTAGTACAACTACTCTCACTTGCACACATCCTAAACAAACACTTAGTAAGTCATCAGCAGTGTTTACAACTCTTCAGTTATTTGCACTAATGTGCATATCCTGTAAAGATTCAGTACAATTTGATATGATATTATAGCATGGACAGTGGGCCAACTTAATCTCTCAAAAAGAAAGAAATCTTTCTTCAGATGTGCAGGGACCATACTTAAATCTGTAATGGTTGTGGGTTTTTTTTTGTTTGTTTTTGGTTTTTTTTTTTTTTTTTTATGGTTTACGTAAATACAGTTATAGAGTTTCCAAATGTAACTTGGGAATCATATCCATTAAATCCTATTAAGTCTTATAAACAAGTTCTATAATGAAAATTCAAAATGAAAAAATACTTTAATGCATAATAAATTTCCTCTAGAATACAGTCACAGAACAGATTAGGTCACAGAAATATCACTGAAACATTTTATATGATTTTGCAACTACTTAATCTTTTGAGTAATTTATTTTCTATTCTATTTATTGAAGAATAAAGATAAATCTCTAAAGTCTGAAAAAAGACCTCTTTTAACTCTAGGCACTTTAGCTATTAAAATTTGACACCTGTAAAACTGAGTTCCTTTTCTAACTGAGATGGTAATATTTTTAGCTTAATACGATGCAATTCAAAGATTAATTAATGCAGTTACTTGCACTGGATGGATCTCAAATAATGTAGGTAGTACATTTGGTAATCTCTCTTTATAGCTAATAAAAGTGCTATAAATGGAAACTGCTAATAGAATACATAAAAGATCATTAGATGTAGTACTATAATCACAGTACTGCATTACCAGTCGCTTTTTTAATTTATAGAGCTCTGTTAACATCCACAATTTGGTTAAGTGAAATTCAAAGACATTTTGGCTGGAGAAATTTAAGTCTTAATTTTCTTACTTTCAAAAATGAAGTCTCACAATGACCTGGATATCATACTAACTAAGATCGCACAGGAACACTGAATATTTTATATTTTTAAAGAATATATTTAATATAGAAAAACAAAAAGAGACAGTTACAGAATTCTTTTGGGAGCTGTATGTCTACATTTGATCCAGAGACTGTATTGAGTCACTAGATTTTCTTTCATATTATAATCAGTCATATCACATCACCAGAGTAAGTGACAGGAGAATCAGATCCACAATCTCTTTCTGTAGGCAAAAGAACAAGATAAAGAAAAAAAAAATGAAATAAGAGAAAAAGAGAGTGACATACAGAATATACAAAGGAATTCTTTACATACTGTATAATGCAATCTCAATTTCTGATGTCTTAGGACTCTGAAATTTTGGAAAACTCTGAGTCTGACTGTTTGATATTGATTTCAGAACAACTATGGTAGTCAATTTAAAAGGGTTTGTTGTTTAACCTTTTTTTATTTTGGCCTAAGTAGTTAAAGAATTTTTTTCATTATTAGACATAGTGTCATGCCTTCTCTTCAGGTATCTGCACATATTTCACAACTCCTGGAAAATTTATTTGACTAAGTATGATTTAAAACAGAATATATAATAATAAATCATGAACATAAGCCTTTCATGTAAAGGTCTTTACGTTCAGCTGAAGTAAATGATAGCCTGAATCAGGTGAATGAAATGTTTGAATATTGGCTACTGTTTCATATGAATTGATAGTTATAAGACTTTTTTCCACTTCGTACAAGACAAACCTATTAACTTCACAGTTTTACCTAAGTGTTTCTGAAATAAAGGCTGTTGGTGTTTTTTTTTTTTTTCCAATAACTACTAAATTTTGGGACCTAAATTTGGGTGCTAATATTAACAAAAACCTTGACAAATTCTGTATTCCAAAGTTATTCAACATGCATTTTCAACAGGCAAAGAAGTCTTAGTATGGTTTTATGAAATCAAATGGTAGACTGACCTGAACCTAGGCCTGGGGTAAACCTGATCTTTTCAAGGACACAGACATAAAAATTCACCTGCACTTCTGCTAGAGATCCCACATTTCTTACCATTTCTCCAGTCCTTCAAAAGAAATGTAAGGACAATTTTATGTCTTTCTGCTCTAAAGCCAGTGTGCAACACCTGGCCAAGTAAGTAGGTGAAGTACAGCCTTTTGCTGAGCTGCTGATGTTAAAATTATCTCCATTAAAAAATAATGAATTGGCTTTGTCTGGATACTTTTGAAAATCTACGTAATAGATTTTCTAGTTTCACATTTCTCATTTAGCCAGTACAAACAGAGTTTTGACCAGATATGGAATACGGTGCAAATTCCAATTAGAAGTTTGTATATAAATGCATGCTTAGCTGGATGCATCAATGTGTTCAACTATCCACTTCACATTGACCAACTGCCTCTTATTCACTGCTGAGCAATACATTCACCTACTTAAGATCATGTGTTCCTTATGTGTTCCTTTTCCTAACTTTTGCCTAAACATTGTGGATTTGACACCATGTTACATATTTATTATATGTGTGTATAGAAGACCTAGACAACTGTTTCATCATTTCTGTTGGGGCAAGATGAGTAAACAAGAATCAAGATTTGTACCACATCTCCCAGGGAACATTCTAAACCTTGTTAGTCTCTACTAATTGACTTGAATACTGATGAATACGAATCATTAGGTAAAATTCAGACTGTCAAAAACAAACATACAAGCCATTTTACTAAGACAATAAAAATTTTCTTCATTGTTCAATGCATATCAAATCACATTCACAGTTGCAAAAATTACATGGTTAGCTCCAGTGCTGACTTTACTGTGAGAGGCTACTACACATATGAGTTACAGTACCAACAAACACAGTGGACTTTCACTGTCTTGCAGCTGCTGCTGCATGTCAGACTGCACAGGAGCACCAACTATAGAGACAACTGTAAGAGTCTCTGACACTTAAGGTAAGTCATTTATTTTCACTGCTTTTGTCCAGAGCTCATATACAAGATGAATGTATAATGACAAATGTTAAAGAAAAGGGAAAATGCAATGAAAGGAAAAAAATATCTAATAGAATGTACAAGGACTGCATAAAGAGCAATGCCTCCTATTTTATTCTGTTGCCTCAAGACATCAGAGGCAGGTGGTGGTGGTATGGTAGTAGAGGCTAAACATTTCCACCAATATCCCATTACGTGTTGTTGCTGAGTGACAGATGGCAGCAGAGAGGCAGTCTGACAAAATGACATCTGACATAAAGTGCATACAAAGAAGAGATGTGGAACTGAATACCTCCATGTAGCAAAAATGGCACCCAGAGCCATTCATTGATCCTTGTTGAACATTTATGGAAACCAAACAGTGGATGTGAGCACAGTGCGGCAGTGGGTGGTGTTTTTCTGCAGTGGCAACAGAGACAAGTGGGTCATTTCCACTGGTGCAGATTTTTACAAGCATAACATGCTGGCTCTTGTTTGTTGCTGGCAAAAATGCATAGATAATGGTGGTGACTGTTGAAAAATAGTGTTTTGCAGCTGAGAATTTGCTCTATCACACAGTGTTATTGTGCTCTTGACGTCTGTTGTAGTTTCCATGGAAATTAATAGGAGGCTTTACTTTTAGAGCAACCTGTGTATAATGTTAGAATGTTCAAATTTTAATTGTCCTCTAGTCAGTGGCAAAATGTTTGGCCTGTGGCAAGTATTGCAATATGTCCATGATAGCGTGTAAGCACAGTAAAGCTAGTCATATCTGGCACATAGGCATTTTAACTTTCTTCTGACAGCCAGCTAACCAGAAGCTTGTTTAGATTTAGGGGGTGGTAG